TGTATCCTGGGTCAAGTCAGTTAACTTCTGTTTGCCTTAATCTACTGGAGAAGGAAATAGTAGACCATCCCAGTATCTTTGCTAAGAAAACTCCATGGACAATATGATCCATGGGGTCTTGAAGTATATGACTGAATAATAACCATGCTCATTACGCAGTCTCCTTCTCTCCTGAATGTTTTTTAAAACTTTTTTTTAAACTTTTCTACAGAAAATTTTGTGTCATTCATTAGTTAACCAAAACTGTAATCTTTTTTACAATTAAATATTACCTTTTTTAATGAAAAGAAATCAGTTTATCCTCCCAGCTTCTCACCATTGAAAGAAAAAGATGCAGCCCTTGTAACAAATATGCTTTGTCAGGCAAAACACACTCCTACATTTGCCCATGTCCAAAAAAATGTACATCTCATTCTATACCCCAAGTCTATTACCTCCTGTAAGGAAGTAGGTAAATAGAATGCTTCATCATCAGTCTTTTTGAATTGTGGTTGGTTATTTAACAGATCAGAAATCTTATGGATTTCAAAGTTGTTTATTTTTAGAGTGTTATTATATAAATTACTCTTCTGGTTCTGATCACATCATTTTATGTTAGTTCAGTTTTCTCTGAAACCATCTCCATCATTTTGTATGGCACAATAATATTCCATTACATTCATCAACCAAAGTTTGTCCAGTCATTTTCCCAATCAATAGACATCCTTTTCGATTTCAGTACTTTGTTACTACAAAAAGTCATTAATAAAAATATTTTTGTACTTATAGGTCCTTTTCTTTTTCTTTTTCTCATCTCTTGGGGTATACGTGTAGTAGCATTATCATTGGATCAAAAGATATGCACAGTTTAATAGTTTTGGGGGTAGAGTTCCAAATGGCTTTTCAGAATGGTTGAATCAATTCAATCAACAGAATGCACTGATTAATTAATATACTTGTTTTTATCATAACCCTTATTTTCCTTTTTTTTTTAATCAAATTTTCCATCTAATGGGGATGAGAAAGAACCTCAGAATTGCTCTAATTTTCTCTCTCTAGTTTTTGGTGATATAGAGCACTTTTTTCATATGGCTGATGATTGCTTATATTTCTTCCTTAGCAAAAATGTCAGTTTATATCCATTAATCAGTTTATCAATTGAGGAATAGCTTATTATAATTTGAATTGGTTATTTATATATCTAGGAAGTGAGACCCTTATCAGTGAAACTTACTGCAAAGATTTTTTCCCCTTACTTGTTTCCCTTCTAATTTTAGCTGTACTGTTTTGTTAAAAACCTTTTCAATTTTATGTCATCATAATTGTGTTTTTTACCTTCTGTGATCTTCTATATCCCTTATTTGGTCAGTACTCTCCATAGATTTGAAAGGTAATTTCTTCTTTGCTTCTATAATTTATTTATGATATCACCCTTAATGACTAAGTCTGGTATGAGTTAGAGTTTATCTTGGTTTATGGTATAAGATGTTAGTCTAGTTTCTGCCAAACTAATTTCCAGTTGTCCAAGTCTTTTTTGTCAAACAGTGAAACCTTATTCCAGTATCTTAAGTCTTTGGATCAATCAAATGCTCGACTGTTAGTTTTGTTTTCTTTTGTATGTTGTTTGCTTATTCTGTTCTGTGATCTACCTCTATTTCTTAACCAGTACCAAATCATTTTGATTACTGCTTTGTAGTATTATTTGAGATCTGGTACTGCTAAGTTTCCTTTTTTTTTTTTTAAATACTTTTTTTTCCCCTTATCTACTTTTTGGTTAGATTTTTCTATCTCTGAAAGTGGTACATTGAAGTGTGGTACAGTGTTATAGTTGTACTCCATTTCCTCAACTAGCTCATTTAGCTTTAGATGCTATGCCATTTGGTATGCACCTATTTATTATTGATATTAATTCATTGTGCTACCTTTAAGCAAAATATATTTTCCCTATTTGTCTTTTTAAATTTAGTCTATTTTTGCTGTTGTCATGTTGGAAGCCAACAGCTTTAAAGGCTAACTATGGATCAGTTAAGCTATCTCAATATGAAGATGTTTCTCCTAAATGGAAAAGTCCCCAGATGGTAGTATTACTTCTTCCTTTTTAACTTCAGCTGAAGCATAGTAGATTTTCCTCCAGATTTTCCTCTTATTTTAACTGAGCAAAGCTTTCTTTCAGCTATGTTTTTTTTTTCAAGAAAAAAAACCATATTGTTAGATTCTTCTTTCTATCTGTTCTTTGTTATCCTTTTCTGTTTTCTGAGTGAGTTGACATTCATTGTTATGATCACATTGACATTCATAGTTGTAGTCTTTAATTGTGTATTTCCCTTTATTATATTTTCTTATATTTTTCTTTCCTTTTATTTACTTGCTGCTCTTTATTAAGAAGAGAGTGGTGAGGGAGAAGCATACTCAGCACTGGTGCGTTGGATTTGATGTGTTCAGCTTCTGTTTCTCTGACCGTTTCTCCCCTCACCCCAAATCCCATGGCAGGTTCTTATGCATTTAGAGTAAGGAAAGGGAAGGAAAAGGAAAGGAATAAGCATTTACATAGTACCTACTATGTGCCAGGAACTATGCTAAGCACTTTTTACAAATATTATCTGATTTGAACTTCACAACAACCCTGCAAGGTAGGTGCTCTTATTCTCTCTATTTTACAGTTGAGAAAACTGAGGCAGGCAGAGATTAAGTGACTTGTCCTGGGTCCCACAGCAAGTAGAGGCCTATCTGAATTCAGGTCTTCCTGACTCCAGGCCTAGCACTCAGTTTGCTGTACCATCAGGTGCCATTTAGCTTTTCCTTTTAAATATTTAGATGCCATTTCATTTGTGGCATATGTGAACTGTTGATGATGCCTTTGAGCCTACCTTTTCAGGAAATATAGTTTACCTGTTTATCTGTTTTACTCAAGTCTTTTTTTGCTGTTGCCTTGTCTGATGTTGTGATTCTTCAAAGCAACAATTGAGGAGTCATCAGAAACTGTTAACCCAAATGCCTACTTTCTTGTCTGTATAAAATTTTTATTAGAAAGGTATGCATACACCCATATTATCCTGAATAAAAATTAACTGGAAATAGATTTTCACAGACTGTTCTCTAGTCTAGAGCAATATTATATCTTCATAGTCACACGATAAGTAGCTTTGTTCAGTGATCTTCTGGTTACTAATATCAAATGAGGCATAAAGCATAGAGATATGGTTTCCAGAGGCATTTTACCACTGTTATGAAAGCTATCCTATGCAAAGCCCAAATGGAAAAGGGTTTCCCTATTGATGATGAAGCTTTATGGAGTCTTTCTTTTTTGGTATGTCATTATGTCCTGCTTTTATCAAGGCTAAGAATACTACAAGACCAGTGAGATTCATAATCATTCAAAGGAGATGAGCTTAACAATCTATATGGGGAAAAAATAAGTGGAAGAAAGATGACTGTCCTTTATTTTAGGACTCTTGGTTCAGTGGGGAGTCCATTCAGTTAGATCATTACATATGTCACTGATAGAAACTGCTTATGGACAGTGATCTGAACCTAGAAGTAAATAACAGGTAGTGAGTAGGCTCTATTGCATTTAAGAAATCGTCTAATACTTTAAGTGTGATCATAAGCTGTTCCTTGACAGAAAGCCCACCTTTTAAATACTGATATTCTCAAGATGATAACATGGAAATTGTGGGAAATTATTATTTCCAAAAATTCAAAATTACAGATAATCTAAACGGCCATTGGAAGATATAACTTATGATGAGCTTATGTAACGTGTAGTTCTTTCACTAATAAGGACTAATGTCAAAGAAAGGGATCGTCAAACACACAGGAAGTATGTGCCTGGGGAAAGATGAAGGTCAGTTAAGTGGTGAGAGGGAGAGATGACAGGTCTATAACCCAAGTATTACACTAGTACCTACAAAGTATTAAAAGTTCTGGGGGAAAGGCCTCCGGGATGTTGGGTAGATAAATCTTTTATGCAGGATTTGTGGGAAAAGATAGACAACAATCACACAAAAAGAAAAGGCAGTGATATACTTCAGTCAACATTGGTGATGTGAGCAGATCACATTGCAACATTGCAGGTCTTTCAAAATACAGGAATGTAAAGACTGAATTTTAAGACTAGTAAAAATAATCTCCTAAAAAAATTAGAACTTTTACTCTATTTTTTCAGTGTTACTTCCAAATCATTATGCAGTTTATTAGAAATTATCTTACTTCTGGCAGACTTTGAGGAGTGATAATATAGATGAACCAAACAGTATATTAAGAATTAGTGAGGGGCAGCTAGGTGGCGCAGTGGATAAAGCACTGGCCCTGGATTCAGGAGGACCTGAGTTCAAATGCGACTTCATACATATAACACTTGCTAGCTGTGTGACCCTGGTCAAGTCACTTAACTCCATTGTAAAAAAAAAAAAAAGAATTTAGTGACTTAGATTGAAGGCTTTGCTTTTCTACTAACTTGGTTTGTGACTTCAGGCCAGGCTAGAAAATGGGAATATTAATTTCTGCTCTACTTTTTCTATCTTAAGGATATTGAAGTTTGAATGTAATAATATGTACCAAGTTTTATTTAAAGTAATAAAATGTTACTTCCATAACATTTAAGACACTACCATGTTTTAGAAGTGAATAGAGGTACTAAAAGACTTTATTGTCTGATGAGGGAGAATTCTCACACTGGCGGCTCTTCAGCTGCGTGGCTCTTTACTTGTTCAGAAAATATTGCCAGTCTCAGGAGTAATGTATTTGATGGTGTAAAATCTGTCCAAGAAACTTAAAGGTTTCTGTTCACAATGCTTCCATAAAGACAGTGAATGAATGATAGCAAATAGTAATAACACATGGGGAATATATCATCCTATTCTAAATGAATAATAGTATCTATTATTATACTTCTCTTAAAATATCTGTAAAATACATGCTGTGTTCTACATGTCAGAGTGTCTAAATAACAATAAATTTTATTTGTAAGTATATTAAAATACGTGTCTACATAAACTTAATAGTTGCATTTTTCATTACAGGCTTCTACTAGCGAGCTAAAAGTGACAGAACCATGGCTCAATTTCCAACATCTTTTGGTGGTAAATTTTCAGATTTTTCTTTAATGATTAATAATTCTTTTTTCTTTTGTCTATTTTGATCTGTTTCTTTCAAACATTCTAATGTGAATAGAATTCATCCAGGATCCTCATAATATGTGGCACCAAAATTATAAAATGAAAACTTCCCTCCCTGCACTGATTCACTATTAGATTAATGTCAGATCAGTGTAATAGCCCATTGGTAAAACAATCTGTCTTAATATCTAGCATGAAACCATAAAATCTGGATCCTTTGAGGTTGTAAATATTTCTATGAGGTGCCTGGCATACTGGTATTTGGGTATGTATTTTTAAAAAAGCAATAGGATTGTTGTTTTTATCTTTTAGGCTTTTTTTCCAAAAGTTTTTTTTTTTACCTAGTTACAGGAGTCTATGCCAATAAAACTTCATGGGAAGGAAGGAAGAAAGGGAGATTAGAGGGGAAGAAATTTATAAAGTGCCCACTGTTAGTTCATTTGATCCTCACAACAACCTTTTAAGGCAGGTGATATTATAATCCTTATTTTCCAGTTAAGGAAACTGATACAGACAAAGGTTAAGTAACTTACCCAGCATCACATAGCTACTAAGTGTCCAAGGTATGATTTGAATTTAGGGCTTTCTGACTCGAGACCCAGTGCTCAATCTACTGTGAAACTTAGCTGCCTTCCTCATATCCTGCAGTCATTTCAGTTCGACATACATTTACAAAGTGCCTACTGTGTACAATGGACTGACTGTTCTATGGGCTGAGAATAAAAATAACATTTTTTTAACCTACTCAGTCTTTACTCTCAAGATGCTTATAATAAGGGAGATTAAAAACAATTAAGGAAAAAGGTAGAATGTTTTTAAGACAGTGCAAAAATCTTGTGTCTTAAAAGAAGATTTGAGGATGGAGGACTATTTGGGAAAATTTCATGGAAAAGATAGTACTTGAACTGGGAATTGAATGGAAAGGAAGATTTTGGCAGGTGGTGATGTAGAAAGGAGTGTAGTCATGGAAGATGGCCTAGAACAAAATGAGATCAGGAAACCACTAGTTCTACAGCTTGGATAGATTATGGAGTGTATGAAGGGAAAGAATGTGTGTGTGTGGGGTATGGGGTGGGGCAGGGAGTTAGAATAATAAAGGGGAATGATAAGAATAATGAATGGAGTCAGGGATTTTGAACAAGGAGTACTTGAGTTTAAATCCAGTCTGAGATATTTCCTAGGTGTGTGACCCTAGGCAAGACACTTCACCTCTCTCATACTCAGTTTTCTCATGTGCAAAATGGGGATAATAATAGTGTCTATTTCACAGGGTTATTGTGAGGATCAAATAAGATGATATATGTAAAGTGGTTTTTTAATCTTAAAATACTGTATAAGTGTTGTTGTTGTTGTTATTGTTATAGACCTAAAGTCAGAAGGAACCACTGAGGCTATCTACTGTAACCCCTTTTTTTTACAGCTGAGGAAACTGTGACCCAGGGAATTTGAATGACTTACCCAAGGTTCCATACCTTTTAGAGCCAGATTTTATATATTTCATCCTGTAAGCAATCAAGGCATGGGGTATTGATCATCTTCTAGGGTAGAGGAGAGGGATGTGTGATTTCTAGAATCTTAAGCATTTTTTATTTTGTGTTTTATAATTTCAAATACTTTTTAATCTGTCAGCTTCTCTGTATGCCTTATATTTCAGGGATTTTGAAAACCTTCTGAAATTTTGGAAACTTTTTATTATCCCTTGTCTTTTTCTGTTGGTTGGAAGTTATCTTAGAGAAGGCTCATCACTAAGGCATTGACTCAATATAAGCATGGTGACCAAATATTCCAAACCAATAATCAGGATATGTGGTCTATCAAATCACTTTTTGGTGGTTTTTATTAACAATGGATCAGAATATTTGAAAAATAGGTATGACACATGGGATGGGATGATTTGAAATTAGAACTTCCTTTGAAAATCGGAGACATTGGTTGCCACAAGTATAATTAATATAAACTATGATGGAGCCTTCTTTTGTATGGGTCATCCCAGTGACCAATATAAGAGATTTAATCTGAGAAGGCATTAGTCAGCAGCTGAAGCCAAAGCGGTCTCTAAATGCGCCTTCTCTTGGCTTAAAATTATTTAGAAGCCGAATGCCAGTTCTGACAGCATCTGGCACCAGATAAAGTACATAAGATTGCAACAAATATAGTAGATTGTATGCAGGTTTATTTAAATAAAATAGACTAACAAGTTGGAATGAAAGCAGGGAGAGCTGATAAAATTTCTGTGCTTCATGCAGTCCTGCCAGGATTGTGGAGCAAGTTTCTTTTCTTCTTTTTTCCTTTTTTTTTTTTGGCTAGGCAGTGGGATTAAGTGACTTGTCCAGGGTCACACAGCTATTAAGTATTATGTGTCTGAGGCCAGATTTGAACTCAGGTCCTCCTGAATCTAGGGCTGATGCTCTATCCACTGTGCCACCTAGGTGCCCCCATGGAGCAAGTTTCTTAGACCCTTTTGATTAATTTGACTACTTTTATATGAAAGTTTTATAAATGCCTAATTTTCCAAGATAAATTCCTCCTTTATCCAACTACTTGAGGATTACTTACCGAATTTTCCTCCCATATACCCTACTCTCTTATGCCTGGTCATGGTATGTTATGTGACCTTGGGTTCTAGAAGGCCTTGTGAGCAGAGCATAAGCCCTGGCAGATCTAATGATGACTGTCATCTGATGACCAACCAAGCCAGGCTTTAAGAGGATCATCATCACTAAAAGATTAATCTCTAGGCAATGAACTTTTTTAGCCACAGTAACTAATAAAGGCTTCTAAGTAAAAAGCATGAGAGAAGTTATGATTTATATCAGTAGAGGGTATGCCCACATTGTTGAAATCATAAATCTTTTGAGTTTTTTAAAGAAATTCGGAAGTTCAGAGAAATAGTATAGTTAAGTAACATTCCTCTCTGTTTCTGTTTTTTTTTTCCTTATCAACTTACAGGCAGCCTGGATATTTGGGCCATAACTGTAGAAGAAAGAGCAAAGCATGATCAGCAGTTCCATAGTCTCAAGCCAACATCTGGGTTTATTACTGGTAGTTGTATACAGTATTTTTGTATTTTATTTTTATTTTTTAAGGGTATTTGTGTTTGTGAAAAAAAAATTATTTAAAGCTCTGTTATATGACAATTTCCAATCCACTAAGTCATTTTGCCTGCCTTTTCTCTGCCCTCAATTCAAAACTCATTTATTCATTGATTTCTATGCATTAGATACCAATAGTACAAAGATAGTAAGGCAAGGAACTTGCTTGTAATTGAGGGTAAAATATGTGAATATAAATAACTGATGAAAGGAACAATATGATAAATACCAAGTTAGAAGGAGTGGAGCAATTTCAGACATGGAGGTGTGAAGTGTGAACAAAAGCACAGGAATGAGTATAGCATAATTATGAGGAACAGCCTATACCTTGCAGTAAGTATTATAGAATAGTATAAAATATGGAACATGAAGCAGTTTGGAAAGGTGGTTAGTAGCCAGGTTATGGAGCACCTTAGATGCTATGATTAAGAATTTGTATTTTATTCAGTAGTCAGTGGGAGCCACTTAAATATTTTGAGAAGATGAATGAGAACAATGAAAGCAGTGGAATGATGTATTAGAGTGGGCATATGCTGAAGGAAGAGAGGATAGTTGGGAGGCTATTTCAGTAGTCTAAGGTAGGACACAATGAATTTAGTTAATGAGACTAGAAAGATAAATCTAAATGCTATAGAAGCGGAATCAGCAGGCCTCAGTATAATTTGATTTGGTGAGAAAGGAAAAAGTCAAACATCACTTAGATTTTTGAACCAGGAGGATTGGGAAGATTGCTAGCAACAGAAATGGAGAAGGTAGAGGGAAAAGCAGGTTTTTTAGGGAAGAAAAATTTACCTTTGGACAGCATGAGTTTTGAGATCCTGTCACAACATTGCAGTTAGAACAAATCTGTATAACTCTGCCTCTCAAATGTGCTATGCATTTTTTTTCACTGTTCCTTGGATGGTCACTTTTCATTACTTATTGAATTACCACCTATCCTTCAAAGTATAATTTAAGTACTATCATCCCCATGAAGTCTTCATTATGACCCCCTCCCCCAGACATTAATGTAACATCTTATTTTGAAGCATTTTAAGGTACTTATCATATAATGTTGTGTAGTATAGCCATTTTTAGTTGTGTCTTCTTCCCCTATTAGGTCATAAATTTCATGGAGAATAGGAACTATGTCATAGCTAAATTTTGTGTCTCCAACAGTATCTTGTATGTTGCACATAAGCGTTAATGTTTGCAGACTAAATGAATATTCAGGCAGTCAGAGTTACAGGATTAGAACTCTTAAGGAGAGATTGGAATGAATTTGTAGATCTGAGAGTCATTTACTTAGTCATCTGAGAGTCATTTACTGGGAATGGCTAGGATACCAAGGGGAAGGCATGTAAAAAGAGAAAAGAAGAGGAGCAAGGACAAAAACTTGGGGGACCACCACCACACTGTATTGAGTGGGAGAAGATGAGAAAGGAGACAGAAGAAGTGGGCATTGAAGTTGAAGAAGAGTTGTGAGAGTATAGTATAACTGACATGTATGGAGAGGGTATCAAGAAGGAGGTGTCAGCTTATGCAGAAAGGTCAAGAATACAAGTATAGTAAAAAGATTAATAGATTTAATTTTTTTTAAAATTTATTTTATTTATTTTGATTTATCAACAATCACTTTCATATGCTTTTGAGTTTAGATTAATAGATTTAATTATGAAGTCTTAACATTCAAAGAGAGGAGTGGGGACCAGAGCAAAATCAAAAGGGTTTGAAAAATGAGTGGGTGGTGAGGAAGTGAAAGCAGTGAATATAGGCTACTCTATCTAGGAGTTTGGCTATGAAACTAGGAGTAGAGAGAGTCAAGTGAAGGTTTTTGTTTTTGTTTTGTTTATTTTTGGTGGGTATTTTATGAAGTTGAAAATGCAGAAGAGAAATAATTGATGGATCAAAGCCTTTTTTGTTTGTTTGTTTTGTTTTGTTTTTTGGTTTGGCAGAATGTAATGGGAATCAGTAAAACGTTACAAGGATTGCAGTTGTTGAAATAGCTGGCCATTGGGTCAAGACTGAGTAAGATTGGGAAGTTAGACTGAACATGACTAATAGACTTAGAAATCAGGGAAGAAATCTGGGGACTGGAGTCATAAGTACAGAAATAAGCTTTTGAACATTTATATTCAACATTTTTGTCCGACAAGAAGTTGAACATTTTTAAATTGATAAAATCTAACCAGCTTGTGGTGATTGAAATAGAGTGGGAGGTAACTCACAGGAGTCAAGTAAGTGCTTCCTTCTGAGCTTTTTGGCTTACTATTTCCATGATACACTTTACTGATAGAGATTGATCATTTCTTTTCATTATTGATACTACTTTGCTGTTCTGCTTAAATTTCCTATCTTTGTACCTTTAATTTACATTTATTATTTAAATACTCAACTGGAGTTGGCTTGATAAAAATGGGGAAGATTAATTATTATAGTTATTTCCTATGCTGGATATATAGTTATTCACTATGTTAACTGTTATAATTATTCACTATACTGGAAGATTTTGCTACATCAAAAAGTATCCTAAATTTTAAGTGTGTAGTATTAAGATTGGGGAAAAATATTCTCATTCTCTGTTTCTGTCTTTGTCTCTGTTTACCTGTTTTTCTATCTCCATCTCTCTCTCTCTTTCTCTCAATTTTATTGATAGCTTTTTGTTTTTTATCACATTCATACCCTAATATTCTCTATCCCCATTTACTCTCAGAGAGCCTTCTTTTGTAACAGAGTTAAAAAAAATATTGTAGTAAAATTTCATAATTGATTTGATTTCTAATTCTCCTGTTATTCGTGATTTGGAGCAATATTAAATGTCAAAAATAGTTTACAATTCTTTTTCTCAGAACTGTTTGTTCATATTTTTGACTATTTAGCTATTAAGAATGGCTATTATATTTGTGTTACTTCTCTGTGTATCTTGGATATTAGATTTTATCAGAGAAATATGATGCAAATATTTTTTCCCCAATTGACAGTTTCCTTGTATTGTTGTTTTTCATGCAAAAGCCTTTCAGTGTCATGTAATCAAATAATTTTACCTTTTGTATTCTCTTCTATCCTTTGAGTGGTTAAGAATTCTCTCCTTAATTATAAGTGTGAAAGGTACTTCTGTCTATTCTCCTTCAATTGTTTTATTATGTAATCTTTTAATATTCTAGTTGAGCATCCATTTGGAACTTTTGGGTTATGTTGCATAAGCTGCTGGTCTGAACTTATTTTTTACTAAACTTTTCCAATTTTTCCATCAATTCCTGTTTATGTGTCAGGGATTATTTGGAGATTTTATTCATATATATATTTGCACAGAAAGTATGTTTTAAGTTTGAATTTTCTCTGGCTCACAAACTCTAAAACAAAAGGAAGCACATTTGTCTTGTTCTTCTCTAAGCAGATATTAAGAGCTGCATTTTAATAGTAAATTATCTTTGACCTGGAATTAACTAGTATAACCATGTTAGGCAAACTTTTCCAAGTCACTTAGTGAGTGAGTATAGGCACGCCTGAGAGGTATTACAGATTTGTTCCCAGACTACTGCAATAAAGCAAATATCACAGTATAGCAAGGCATACAAATTTTATGGTTTCCCAGTGTATATAAAAGTTATGTTTACATTATGCCATGGTCTATTAAGTGTGCAATAGTGTTATGTCTAGAAAACCAATGTGTATATACCTTAATTAAAAAATACTGTATTACAGGGGCAGCTAGGTGGCGTAGTGGATAGAGCACTGGCCCTGAAGTCAGGAGGACCTGAGTTCAATTATGGCCTCAGACCACCACTTGACATTTACTAGCTGTGTGACCCTGGGCAAGTCACTTAACCCCAATTGCCTAAAAAAAACCCAAACTATATTACTAAAAAATGATAGCCATTATCTAAGCCTTCAGTGAGTCATAATCTTTTTGCTGGTAGAAGGTCTTGCCTTGATGTTGATGGCTGCCGACTGATCAAGCTGGTGGTCGCTGAAGGTTAGGGTGGTTGTGGTAATTTCTTAAAGTGAGAAAATGAAGTATGTCACATCAATTGACTCTTCCTTTCACCAAAGATTTCTCTGTTTGATAGCATTTTACCCACAGTAGAACTTCTTTCAAAATTGGAGTCAGTCCTCTCAAGCCCTGCCCCTGCTTTATCAACTAAGTTTATGTAATATTCTTCTATATTGTTGTGTCTCAGGGAATAGGGAAGCCTGAGGAGAGGGAGAGAGATGGAGGAATGGCTGGTTGGTGGAGCAGTCAGAAAACACACAACATTTGTTATTAAGTTTACTGTCTTATATAGATGTGATTTGTGGTACCCCAAAACAATTGTAATAGTACATCAAAGATCACTGATCACAATATAATAATAATGAAAAAATTTGAAATATTGTGAGAGTTATGAAAATATGACCCAGAGACACAATGTGAGCATGTGCTATTGGAAAAACGGCATTGATAGAATTGCTTGATAGCAGTGTTGCCACAAACCTTTGATTTGTTTAAAAAAAAATCATAGTATTGTGAAGTGCAATAAAATCACCTGTGCCTGTATGAAATCAGCTTGATTTTTATTTTGCGCTTCTTTTCCATTATGTATAAGGAGAAAATAAGTTCAGTCTTTACACAGATTTCAGCATCTTTCTTAAATTTGCATTTCTATTTTGGATAGTTTTGCTTTAATCATTTTCTAATGACTTTAATTTCGTTTGAAACAGTCTTCCTTTAACTTACAGGTGATCAAGCCAGAAACTTTTTTTTTCAATCTGGGTTACCTCAACCTGTTTTAGCACAGATATGGTAAGTTGAAAATGTATGCTGATATATGTAAAAAAATGTTTTACCTTGTTTTGGGTGATATTTACATTGTATGTTCTATATGGGAAGTACAGTGCTGGAGAATGGAAGTCAAGACTCCTAAAACCAAAATTCATTTGAATATCCTGTGTCTTAAAATTCACTATTAAGGCAGTCATTTTTTTAAAAAAATTTTTATTTTGTTTTATTTTGTTTTCTTTTTCTTATTTTTCCTTTTTTTCTTTTTAAGGCAGTCATTTTTAAGAATAAAGGAACTGCCTACTCTTCTTGACCTATGTGTTGAAAAGGTTCTTTATTGGTTGGAGCCAATTTCTTTGAAAAAACAATAAATGGCTTATATTGTTGTCTTTTGCAGGAATGAGTCATTTTGGAATGAGTTTTCCAGATAGCTGCGGGTTTTTTGTTTTAAGTACCAAAGTGTTTATTTATCCTTTAACTACTTTGGATAAAAATATTTTTAAGAAGTAATTAACTCTCCAGTTATATAGTCCCACAGTAACATAATCTGAACTTAGAAATAGCTTTTCTTTGAAAGACCTTAAGTAGTACAGTATATGTTGGCATGAGCCTAGACTAGGAATCAAGAAACCTGGATTCTGGGGAGACAGTGTGGAATATGGGAAAGAATAGAGGCTCTGGCATCAGAGGATGAGGCCCAGACCTTTAGAGATGCTCACGATCTGTGTGACCTTGAGAATTAAAGTTCTCTAGACCTTGGTTCTCTCATAAGAAAAATGAGATGCTTTCTGAGGTCCCTTCTAGCCCTGATCTGTGAATCTTAACGTGTCCTCCTGGTTCTGCTTCTGCTATTCTGCTGACTAGCTGTGTAACCTTGGACAAGTTGTTTAACTTCTTTGTCTCTTGGCTTCCTGATTTCTAAAATAAATGATCATTCAAGTCTTTTTTTCTCTTTCTAAGATTCAGGGGTTGTATTAGCATTTTCACTACATAAGCTTAGCAAAATGTAGCAAAAGTATACCATATTTTAGTTAACAATTTTGTTTTTGTGTGTTTTGGGCTAGGCAATGGGGTTAAGTGACTTGCCCAGGGTCACACAGCTAGTAAGTGTCATGTGTCTGACTCCGTATTTGAACTCAGTTCCTCCTGAATCCAGGGCCGGTGCTCTATCCACTGCGCCACCTAGCTGCCCCTATTAGTTAATAATTTTGTACAGATGTATTTTGTATAATGTGTTACTGAGTTAACATACAGATTAGAAAATTCAGTATTTTGCCTGAATTCAGAGATAGTTTTCTCCTTTATATAGTTAAAAGTAGTAGTGCACATGGTTTCACCAGAGCACCAGTATAAATCCCTTGCTGCTAGAAATAACATTCTGTGAACCAAGGTCACATAGAGGACAGTACTTCAGCATGCAAGCAAAATAATTTGAGCAAGATTAGCTGTTTGTTTCCTCACTCAAAAAATCTGAAATATTTTGTACTTGGAAATATATTTTGGGACCTAGAGAATCTCAGCATTTAGTTTATCGTCTTCTTCCATGAGCAATACTTTTCTTATTTAGCTGTGGAATTCCAAGCTAATGTGGTATTAATGACATTTCAAATTAACATGAAAAAAAATTATCTAACAACATTTTCTTACATAGCTGCATACTTGAGGCCAGACTTAACTACACTTTTTTTAAAGTTCCTACGGGATTTTACCTTACATTTAATTTAAATACAGAAAACATCATTGTCAGTTATGTTTTGTAATGTCTGCAGGTCTTTTCCCAACACTGAAGATTAGCTTAGTGATTTCTCTTAGTAATCCAAAAACATTATATTATTTTGACAGAAAAAAGAAAATGATTTTAATATTCACATAGGTACTTGAAATGCTACTAAGTCAATGTTCAACTTTCCCAAATATTTATTGGAATATTCTCTGGATTCTTCTTAAGAAGAAGAGTTAGGAAAGAAAAAAATTTCTAGCCCTGTACAGTTGGGATTTGTTCTGTTTTGATTTTTGCAGTTCTTTTTTTTTTTAAATGAGTGAGTCACTCAGAATCTTCTATGAATTCCCATGTGCCTATTTCCCAGCCTTTTAAAACTTTTTTTTTTTTTGCCAAGCTAATCAGTTTCCAAGAAGTGGTAGTTGGAAGCTTAAATACTGGTGATACTAATCAGTCTTTCAAATCTTTGTTGCCTAGCCAAGCTTCCTCACAGCACCAATTCTTGCAGTACTTGAATCCTATTATTTCCTTGATGTTCTGGCATGGTCCCTGAAGATTAGTCATTGTCTTAATAAAGTTTGGGATCTCTTATCTTGAGCAGAAAGGAAGTAGAAATAACCATGTAACTGGGTAGCCATCTTTTTTCTTTTTTTAAGGAGCTCACCTTTCTTAATGTTACATGATGATATTGAGTTTTAACTTTTGTTTATGCTCCTTCAGTTTTAGGGGAAATGTTAATCATTAGGGAATACCACATGAGTAATTCTGTTATCCTAATTTTTAATCAGAACTTCAAATTTGACTTCTTATGCCAGACTCCTATTATGGCAAGATGCCCAGGCAATTCTTATTCTTGATAAGTATTAATGTTGATAAATTAGCTGTAATCATAATACCAAGAGAAGTCTATACAACTGAATTTTTTTCTTTTAAGTAATATGTTTGTTGTTTAGACATTTTCAGCTCTAAAATATTCCTTTTCTTGGTATTTTTATTGCTGTTATTGTGACCAGTAATAGCAGCTTATATTATTTATCACATTTTATATTTGCAAAGCAATCAACATACATTTTCTCGCTTGAGTCTTGCAATGAGCCCAGGAACAAACAATCCAAATGTCTTTATCTCTGTTTCTGAGGAAACTAAAGCTCAGAAAGGTTTAAGTTACTTGCTCAAGGCTTCATAACTACCAAGTGGCAGTCAGATTTTCTCATTAGAAATCCATGTTACTCAGAGGTGTGGGTGTTTTTTATGTTTTAAGTAAAATGTTTCAAATAAAATTATTTTTAATGGCTAGCTAAATCTTGAGTTTCTTGTAGGGCCAAAGAATATCAAATCTGAATGAGTAATCCTATAAAAAACAAACAAACAAATGTTTTAAGTAGTGGGATCATTAATACTTTGAGTTTATCATTGTACAGGGTGTCCTAAAAGTCTTAGTAAAGCCCAAACATATACTAAGACTTTTGGGACATCCTGTAATGCAGAAACTAGTGGCAACCACTGTACTGTTTTCATAATCTCTGCAGGTGCTCCCTTTTGTTCCTTTTGTTCATTATTCTTTGAAAAAAGCTCTTTTTACATGAAACCCCATTTTCTTGCTGTACTTGGACAATTTATATTGCAGTACCATTTGCAACAGCACAGTTGCTGTGTTGTTAAGACACAAAGGGCTAGAGTCTAAAAAGAAGTTAACTGCACTAACTGTGGAAGCATCAACTTGTCAGTTAAAAAAGGGTTCTGTGGTGAGATTTGCAGAACCCCACAGGGAGTTTGTATAGTTTGGGCCAAATTTCTTTAGAAATACATTGTCTATATTTAAGTTCTTTGTGATGCCCGAAGTACCAATTCTTATAGTTGGAGTGATATATTAAGTTGTTTTTGTTTTTAGTTTTAAAAAAAATTTGAAACACAGTGATAGTGTGACAGTTTTCAAAGGTTATATATTTTAACATTTTGAAAACACTCCTTAATCAAGAAAAGTTAAAAGAGTTTTTTTTTTAAAAAAGGGGTATATTGACAGTACTACCAATTTAAATAAGACATTTATAAGTTAACTAATCAGCTTGATTTTTACAATTTGGAAGTTTGGGGTACTTTGCAGAGAGTTAAAGGATTTAGGGGTCCAGTTTTTAGTGCTTTAAAAAGATTCTTTAAGGTTCCAGTTCTTAAAAAGGTTCATGGCATTGAATTTCAGGGCATTAGCTGACATGAACAATGACGGGAGAATGGATCAGATAGAATTTTCTATAGCAATGAAACTTATCAAACTGAAGCTACAAGGTTATCAGCTACCTGCTGCACTTCCTCCTGTCATGAAACAGCAACCTGTTGCTATTTCTGGTGCACCCACATTTGGTAAGTCTGAAGATGACTTAACTTTTATGTTATTTCTCTGTTTCTTTTAATGTTTAGAAACAAAAGTGATACCTTTGTTTTCTCCTGAGTGTAATATGGTAATTCAGGGGATATTTTATCTGTTCTGGAAAAAAATGAATCTATCGTGGATGGTGTCAAAAGCAATTCAAAAGCATGTTCATACTAGTTAACATTATAACAAAAACAAATGCATTAACAGAGAAAGCTTTCATTCTCTTGATATACCTTTCACAGATGTCTCTCTATTTCATTGAACTCTTGATCTCCATTTGTCATACACTGCCTTTTTATTTCTTATTCTGTAGCATCTTTAATCCTCCTGATGATCATAATATGACCTTTCATCATTGAAGCATTGTAGGAATACCATATTTTATGATTTGTAGGTTCATGCTAGTTAGCAACATAATTGTTTTTTTCTTTATTTTTAAACTTTTATTACCATTTTTTAACATTCTTTTCTTTTTTTAAATTTTGAGTTCCAAATTTTTTCCCCCTCCTACCTTCCCTATCCAGTGAAGAAGGCAAGCAATATGATATCAGTTACACATATGAGATCATGCAAAACATTTCCGTATTAGCTGTATTTCAACAAAAAAAGCAAGAAAAATGAAGAGAGTGAGAAAATTATACTTTAGTTTGCACTCAATTTATCACGTCCTTCTCTGGAAGTGGGTAGCATTTTTTCATCCTGAGTCCTTTGGAATTGTCTTGAACCATTGTATTAATTAGAGTAGCCAAGTCTTTCACAGTTGATCGTCATTACAACATTGCTGTTACTGTGCACGATGACCTCCTGGTTCTTCTCACTTCACTTTGCATCAGTTCATATAGGTCATGTCATGTTTTTGTGAAACCGCCATTTCCAATTCTTTGCCACCACAAAAAAGAGCTGCTGTAAGTACTACATATATGTCTTTTCCCTTTTGTCTCTTTGGGATACAAATCTATCAGTAGTAATTCTGAGTCAAAGGGTAGGCACAGTTTTATAGCCCTTTTGACCTTGTTCCAAATTGTTCTCCAAAATGGTTGGACCAATTCACAACTACTAGCAGTTTATTGGTGTACTGATTTTTCCTTCAACTCTTCTAGCATTTGTCATTTTTTGGGGAGGGGGGCTAGTCAGTGGGGTTAAGTGACTTGCCCAGGGTCACACAGCTAGTAAGTGTTATGTGTCTGAGGCCAGATTTGAATTCAGGTCCTCCTGAATCCAGGGCCGCTGCTCTATACACTGTGCCACCTAGCTGCCCTGCATTCATCATTTCTGATAGGTATGAGATAGTACTAGAGAGTTGTTTTAATTTGCATTTCTCTAATTAATAGTGATTAGAGCATTTTTCTCATTATGACTATAGATAGCTTCGACTTCTTTGTCTGAAAACTGTCTGTTCATATCCTTTGACCATTTATCAGCTGGGAAATGGATTGTTATTATAAATTTGACTCAGTTCTATGCACAGTGTATTTGAAAAATGAGGCCTTTATTAGAGAAACGAGCATAAATTTTTTTGATATTACTTCATTGTCTATGGTACCTTTAGCAAAATATAATTTCCCTGATTATCTCTTTTTTTCTTTTTTTTTTCTTTTTGGTGAGACAATCAGGGTCAATTGACTTGCCTAAGGTCACACAGCTAGTAAGTGTTATGTGTCTGACCCCAGATTTGAACTCTGGTCCTTTTGATTCCAAGGCTGGAGCTCTATCCACTGCACCACCTAGCTGCCCCTGCTGATTATCTCTTTTAAATTGTTCTATTTTTGCTTTTGATTTGTCTGAGGTCATGATTGCTACCCCTGGTTTTTTTTTTTAACTTCAGCTGAAGCATGTTAGATTTCTGTTCCAGCCCTTTATTTTAACTGTTGAGTGTGTCTTTCTGTTCCAAGTGTGTCTCTTGTGAAAAACGTATTGTTGGATTTTGGTTTCTAATCCATTTTGCTATCTGATTCTGTTTTATGAGTGAGCTCATCCCATTCCTAATCACAATTATGATTATTGTGTATTTCCCTCCATCTCATTTTCTTCTGTTTCTTTTTCTCTTTCTTTTTATCCTGTCCTTCCTCAAAAGTCTATTTTGTTTCTAACCACTGCCTCCCTAAATCCATCCTCTCTATTATCATTCCTCTTCCTCCTTCCCTGCCCCTGGGGTTAAGTGACTTGTCCAGGGTCACGCAGCTAGTGATGGTCAAGTGTCTGAGGCTGGATTTGAACTCAGGTCCTCCTGACTCCAAGGCTGAAGCTCTATCCACTGCGCCACCTAGCTGCCCCAGTTTTATTGTTTCTTTATGTCTTGTGGAGTCATTAGCCTTCCAGTTGTCCAGTGCTAATTTTTAGGGAATTATTTTCTTTCTTTTTTCAAATTTTATTTTGATTTATCAACAATTTTTTTGAGTTTTAAATTTTTCTCCCTCTCCTTCCCCTGCCCCACCCCCCCGATGGAGTGCAATCTGATGTAGGCTATATATATATATACATATATATATACATTCCTATTAAACATATTTTCACATTAGTGATGTTGTAAGGAAGAATTAAAACCAATAGGAGGAACCATCAGAAAGAGGAAACAAAAACAGAAGAAAAAAATTGCAATTAGTACACTTCAATCTGTGGTCAAACTCCATAGTTCTTTCTTTGGATGTGGATAGCATTTTCCATCATGAGACCTTTGGAGATGTCTTAGACCCTTGTGTTGCTGAGAAGGGCTAAGTCTGTCAAAGTCAGTCATTGCACAATGTGGCTTGTTATTGTTGTACAACGTTTTCCTGGTGCTGCTGACTTCACTCAGCATCAGTCCATACAAGTCTTTCCAGGTTTTTCTGAAGTCTGCCTGCTCATCATTTCTCATAGATCAGTAGTATTGCATTACATTCATATACCACAACTTGTTCAGCCATTCCCCAATGGATGGGCGTTCCCTCAATTTCCACTTCTTTGCCACCACAGAAAGAGGCACTATAAATATTTTTGTACATGTGGGTCCTTTTCCTATTTGTATGATCTCTTTGGGATACAGCCCTAGAAGTGCTATTGATGGGTCAAAGGGTAAATAAGAATTGTTTTCTTCAGTGAGCCTTTGTACCTCATTTTCCATTTGTCCCATTCAGCTTTTTAGAGACTTCTTTTCTCCATGAATTTTCTGTGTCTCTTTTTACCATTAGGGCAGTTCTGTTTTTAAGGTGTTATTTTCTTCGTGTGTGTGTGTGTGTGTGTGTGTGTGTGTTTGTCCCTTACCAAGCTTGTTAATTCTCTTTTCATAACTTTCTTGTATCACTCTCATTTCTTTTCTTAATTTTTCCTCTACCACTCTTTATTTCTTTCTTTAACTCTTCCAGGAATTCTTGTTTGGATTGAATCCAATTGGTATTTTTCTTTGAGGTTTTAAACTTGCACGTGGCTCTTTTTACGTGGTTGTCTTCTTTTTGAGGTTTTGTTTATAGCTGTTTTCACATTACTGTCTTCTGAGTTCATGTCCTGGTCTTCCCTGCCACTGTAGTAGCTTTTTATGATCAAGTTCTTTTTTTCTTTTTTTTTCTCATTTCTGCAGTCTATTTCTTGACTTTGAACTTTATGTTAAAGTTGGTCTCTGCTCACCTGGGGTTGGAAAGGCACTGTTTCAAGCTTCAGGCTTTTTTGTGTTGCTATTTTCAGAGCTAGTTCTGGGCTTCTGCAAGTTTTTGGTGCTTCCAGGGTGGTGTGATGCTTGAAGAGCTATGGCCCCTGCTGTCCTGGCCAAAAGACTTTGGTCTTTACCCAGAAAAGTTCTCTGATCCCCTGCTGCTGCAAGCACTCTGTTTGCCTTGTGACCAAACCCTACCACTCCTCTCTGCCCTGGAACTATGACCCAGAGCTGTATATGGGCAACAGAGTTGTCGGTCTCAGCTGTATCTAGTGCCAGTGAGTCATCCCCTGTGATACCTCTCTTTCTCTTTTTTGAGGCGATTGGGATTGAGTGACTTGCCCAGGGTCACACAGCTAGTAAGTGTCTTAGTACGGATTTGAACTCAGGTTCTCCTGACTTCACGGCTGGTGCTTTAGCCACTGTGCCACCTAGCTAACCCCCTCTGTAATCTCTTTCTGACTAGTTGTTCGACCTCCTCCCATCTCTGTGCTTAGAGCTCCTGAAGCTGCTGCTGCTGTGGCTGTGGCCTCATGTGGGGGCTCTGGAGAGGCTTCTGTCCTGATGTCACAAACTTTTGCTGCCAATCTCCTAAGTTTTTTTAGGCCAGAAAAATGTCTTTCACTGACCTTTTTTTTGGCTCTGCGACTTCAAAATCTGCTTTGAGACATTATTTTGAAGTTGTTTGGAGGGGAATGTTGAGAGAGTTCAGCTGAGTTGACTCTAATCCACCATCTTGGCTCTGCCAGCATAATTGCTTTTTAAAGCTGCTTCCATATTTGTATGAAGTTTCTCATTTTTCCTCTCCCTTCTACAACAGTGGGATCTGTGAATTCATATGTGGACATAGATATGAGGTTGAAATTCATCACTTAAGCCAGACATCTCAATCTTAATGATGCAAGTCAGTGCCAACTTATCTCATTAGAGGACTCTTAAAAAAAAGAAAACATCTGTATTTTGAATAAATGTCTTGTTCATAGTGGTATTATAATTTTTCACATGTACGTAGAAACTTTTGTAATGAATAAAATTATTTAAAAGCATTCATAATTTCTTAATAGCTTTTTATCATATGTTTACTTAATAGATATTAATAGTAGTACTGTTAACATGTAGGAGTTAAAAAGTCTTTTAATTTAAAAATGGGTTCTCATTCTCAGAGATATGGAATCAGTACGATAAACTAAGTCAATATACTTTATAGCAGGCCTGCACAACCTGCGGCCTGCCAAAGGATTTCAGGTGGCCCATGAGGAAATGTAGAGGTAAACATCCTCTGCATTTTTTGCTGGCCGCCTTGTGCCTGTAGGCCATAAGTGCCCTGTGGGCTGCAGGTTGTGCAGGCCTGCTTTATAGCATTTCGTTTTGGGGAGGAAACTCCTCCAGTTTTAGTAAGTGAGACTAAAGGAGAAAGTTCCATAAAACCCTAGGTTATAAATGGTTGATTAGCTAAATATTGAATTTTGGTTCTAAGTTGTGAATGACGTTATTATAAAATGGAATTGATCTGATCATACTCATATAATCCCTTCCAGCTCTAAGTCTGTGCTCCTATGATTTTTTGTTTTTGGGTGAGGCAATTGAAGTTAAGCGACTTGCCCAGGGTCACACAGCTAGTAAGTGTGAAGTGTCTGAGGCTGCATTTGAACTCAGTTCTTCCTGGCTCCAAGGCTAGAGCTCTATTCACTGTGCCACCTAGCTGTCCCTTGATTCTTTATTCCTATAGGAACCAAAATAGGAATAAACTGATTATGGGACAATGGCGACATGATCTGACATCTGTCTGACTTTTTCCACTCCAGTTTTTCGTATGTTTAGATTTTTTTTAAAGATTTGTAATATTCAGTTTAAACATGATTGAGAGAGTTTTTGAACTTTTTGAAACAATAAAAAATGTGAAATAGAAGCCCTTCTCTATGCCCCACTGGTAGCACTTCCAACCTTATGTTTTCTTTTGTCATGTAGGTCAACATACAAGGGTTTGATACCTCTTAACAGAATAAGGTAGATTCCTCTGAAGTTCCATAGCACTTTGTTCCTCTTTGTTGTTGTTGTTGTTGTTGTTTTTTTAGGCAGTTGGGGTTAAGTGACTTGCCCAGGGTCACACAGCTAGTAAGTGTCAAGTGTTTGGTCTGAGGCCGGGTTTGAACTCAGGTGCTCCTGACTTCAGGGCCGGTGCTCTGTCCACTGTGCCGCCTAGCTGCCCCATCACTTTGTTCCTTTTACTTCACATTCACCTTCTACTTTGTAATGTGGTTTTCTCTTCACATGTTTGACCTACATAGGCACTATATAAATGCTTACTCCCTTCCCCTTCTTCCTTACCCCCTACTATATTGTAATATCCATGATGAAAGAAGGTGACTTATTCTTTGTACTCCGTGTAGCATCTACCACAGTGTTATGTTAGTGTAGTAGCTTTAAGAATGTTTGATGAGGGGCAGCTAGGTGGCACAGTGGATAGAGCTCAGGCCTTGGAATCAGGAGGACCTGATTTCAAATCTGGACTCAGACACTTGACATTTATTAGCTGTGTGACCCTGGGCAAGTCACTTAGCCTCGATTGCCTCACCAAAAAGAAAAAAAGAATGTTTGATGAATAGATGCTTGAGGCCATCAGGTAATTCTGGCTGTCTCTGACATCTAGACCTGATGAGATACTGATGTAAATGCATATACCTAAAAGAAATAACAAATTTTACCTATTTGAATTATTGCTTCTCCTTATTTATAACATTTATAATTTCTGTATCAGAGCTAAAGGTTTTTTTAAAAGCACTTATAAACCTTGAAAATTAAATATTATGAAATTGCTCAGCTATACAGAGAGATGGTAATACCCTTGATCATGTGGTAACCTACAAATGCACTACTTCTATGTTAATGAACTTTGAAATTCCCTTATTTGATCACAATCTGTTGTCAATCCAGCTATCCTTTGCCTTGCAACCCCTTACCCTATTCTTTGTCCTCATCGTGACCTCGAGTCTCTGAAGTCCTCCGTTCTTTCCCAGGCTATCATCCCTGCTTTGGCTACACTCCTCCACCTTTCCCATTGTGACACCTTGATGACTCTACATTATCCTTTTCTCTTGAGTCTCTTGCTGCATTATCCTCTTGCTTATCTTGCTTTGCCAAGCATCTGAACCGTCAAAAATACAGAAAAAGGAAACTTTTCAGTAAATAACTATAAATGGACTTTCTACAAACAAAGTTAGGTACACATAGTTTTTCACAGGCTTGGTCTCTGCTATTAATAATGACTTTCATTACTGTTCTTCATTGATAAAATATACAAAGCTCATCTGAAAATAAAAATTTGTATGAAAATGTTTTTAAATCACTCAAAAAATAAAACTGTAGACCTTGTTTTTTGATCATTTGCATGGTTTTTAGTCTCTGCAAAATGTGACTAAAATTAGAGGAGTAGCATACAAAATAATGTTATGGAGGTGAAATGTACAGAACTTGGCAACAAATTGGATATAGGCAGTGAGTGAAAGTGAGTAGTTGAGGATGATATTGAGATTGGGAATATTAGGTGACTGGGAGAATAACGGCACCCTCTGGATTAGTAGATCTGAGAATCATATGCATAGAAGTGAAAATGGAATCTGTGGTAGCTGATGAGTTCCCCAAGTGAAATAGTGTCTAAAGAGAAGGCAGTCCTGGACAGAATGGGGAGGGGTACGATAAGACACCTACAATGAGTGGATATGACCTGGATGGTGATCTATCAGAGGAGACTGAGGAGTAGTTAGATGAGTAGGAGTACAAATCTAGAGACGAGAGTATCAAGGGGAAGAGAGTGATTAGTGATATAAAAGACTGCAGAGCATGCAAGGGTGATGATTGAGAAAAGGTTATTATATCTGGCAATTAAGAGATCATTGGTAACTTTGGAGAGCGAAGTTTAAGTTGAATGATGAGATCAGAAACCTGACTGCAGAGAGTTAAGAAGAGAGGAAGAAGGAATGCCATGGCCTTCTCAAGAGGTGTAGGCGCAAAAGAGAGGACAGGAGATGGAAGGATCAAGTAAGGATCTTTTTGAGCCTAGGGAAGACATTGGTGTGTTTATAGGCAGTCGGGAAGTAGCTGATAGACTGAATGAAGATTAGTGAGAGAGTAGAGATAATAGAAGGGGTAGTCTGTTAGAAAAGGCTGGATCATTTGTACATGTAGAGAGGTTAGCCTTGGTAAGAGGAACTACCTCTTCATGTAAGACAGGAACAAAGGAGGACATAGTGACTGAAAGTATCTGAGTGAGGTGAGGTGAGATTAGGAGGAAGTAGAAGAAGGAGCTCCTGGCAAACAATTTTAACTCTTTCAGTGAAATATGAAGCAAGGTCCTGAGCCAAGGGGTGGGGTTTCAGGAGGTGGCATGGGAAGTTTGAGGAGGGATGAAAAGGTTTGGAAAACCCACTATGGTAAGTAGGACAGTGAATTGATTAGGGAGGTATAAAAGAATTATCTTGTCAGAGTGAGGACCCAGTTGAATTTATGTAACATAAATTTGTAGTGGACTCATCATGACTTAGTGATTTTTCTCCAGTTTCATTCAATAGTACACGAGTAGAAATGTAGGCAGTAGATTGTGGGTTTAGTACAGGCTGAGGCTTCACAAGGCAAGAAGGTCAGTAGGATAAGGAGGCAGATGACTCAGAGAAGAGGTCAGTACAGAGTTGAACTGGTTCACTAAGGTGTCAGGAAGAAGAAAGGAGAAAAATATAGTAAAGACCATGTGATGGTCTGGGAGAGAACTGAGGACAGAGGAACTAGGGATCATTTTAAGGATGAGAACAAGCTTTGGAGGTGCAGAATAGAGGAGGAGGGGGAGTGACAACAGCTCAGAAAAAAAACTTGGGCTAGACTATAGTCTTTTGAGTCATCTGTATGGAGATGATAATTAAACTCATTTTGAGCTGCCACCAAGGGAGAGAGTGTCTAAAGCAAAGAGAAGAAGTCTTCGGGACAGAGCCTTAGGCTATACCCATAGTTAGTGTATGTGGCATGAATAATGAATCAGTGGAGGAGATGGGGAGGACTGGTCAGACAGGTATGGAGAGAGCCCAGGATAAAAACATGACCAATGGAATCAAATGCATCAGAAACCAAGAAGGAGGAAGACTGAGGAAAGGCCATTAGATTTGGTGATTTGGAGACCATTGGTAACTAAAGAGAGCAGCTTAGGATGAGTGATGAGATCTGACATCAGGTTTGGGAGATTGAAAAGTAGAGGAAGTGGAGGTATACATTAGAGAGCTTTTTCAAGGAATGTGGCTAAGAAAGGATGAAGAGATATAGTGTGATGCTTAGGGCTATTGGGATCTAGTAAGCGTCTTTTGAGGATAGGGGAGACTTGGGGTTGCAGGAAAGGAACCAGAGAGTTTAGGGGTTAAAGAGAAAGAAAGAATATGATAGTGGAGGCACTGGCTTCAAAAGACAGGATGCCTATGGAGGGATTGACCCTGGTGAAGAGAAGGGCCACCTCTTCATTTGAGACTGGAGTAAAGGAGGAAATGGTGGGGAATGTCAAGAAGAGGGGAGAGAAAAGAATTTTTAGTGAATAGGCTTGATTTTTTTGGTCAAGAATGAGGTGAGTGTCTTGGATAAGAGTAGGAAGGGAGGGGATGCTCTTGGGGAGAAAAGAGTTTTGGAACATCTGTTGTGGGGAGTGGAATAGAGAATTAATGCTCCTCTTGAGGCCCTCTACATCCAGGCTAACTGTCCTGCTAGCTATCCCTCTTCTCTAACATGCTGTCTTCAGACCTGGTGCCTTCATATTTGTGGTCCTGGCCCGAAGCCTGGAATGTGACCATTTTTTGTCTCTGCCTTTCAGAATCTTTAGCTTCTTCAAGGCTTAGTTACTTTTGATAACTTTTCCATGCAGCCTTCCCAGCTTTCCCCCTCCTCATCTCCTGCAACTGGAAGTATTTTTTCCCTTCTCCAGTATCCTTTGTCCAATCATTCCACATCCATCCTAAATGTATTTTTTACTTATGTGGCCAAATTGCATCCACCATCCACCAAAGAGAATGTAAGCTCCATGAAGGAAGGAAGACCTCTGTGTCGTTTATCTTGGTATTCCCAAAACTTTGCATGTCATTGCTGTTGAATGTTTGTTGTTGAACTGAACAGCTTTCAACGAATAATCATTTTGGTAATTTGACTATTTATATGAAACCCAAATTTGTCATGGTTCAATAGGAAAAAACCTTTTATGCTTGCCCTAATGGAATCCTGTGTTGTAAATGATTCACCTGGATTTAACTTAAATCTCTTTGCTCATTAGGTATGGGAGGCATTGCCAGCATGCCGTCTCTCACAGCTGTTGCTCCAGTACCAATGGCATCGATTCCAGTAGTAGGAATGTCCCCACCTCTCGTATCTTCTGTTCCTCCCACAGCAGTTCCTCCCCTGGCTAATGGCGCGCCTTCTGTCATACAATCTCTGCCTGCTTTTGCTCATCCTGGTAGGTAACCTATTATAACGTAAGCCCAATTTTTCCATAACTTTTTTAGAATATTTGCTTGTATTGAATGTTCTTTCTGTTAAACTTTTAGTGCTATTTGATTTTTAGGAGTAAGGGCATGGACCTGTGTTTTCGCTGGAGGACTCGCCTCCCATCACCACTGACTATAGGCATCTTGTCTGCCTCAGAGCTTTGCCTATATCAGCAAGAGGTTAAGTGACTTGCCCAGGGTCATGTAGCCAGTATGTGCTGGAGGGTAAACGTGAACCCGGGTCTTCCTGGTTCCTGAGTCAGCTCTCTATCTACTAAGCAACACTGCCTCTCACTTGATTGTAATTTAGTTATATTTGGGTTCAGAGAGGAACATCGTGTTGATTCACATAATTTCTTCCTTTAGCAGATTAAAAAACAAAACACAACAGCTAATACATAATATGCCAGAGAGGTTCAGGTTTGTGAGAGCAAATTGCAGCTGGGTACCACTATCAACAGATGGGAACCAAATATTAATAGCCCTGAAAACAAATCTCTTGCAATGGCTTGATTAAAAAAAACCAAATAATTAAAGCATGAATTGCAGCTTTTATCATTATTAACAATATTAATAACTAATATGTGTATAGTATTTTAAGGTATACAAAATTCTTTACTTATATTATCATATTTTATCCAAATGTTTGTTCATTTTTTTCAACTGCTGTTATCATACTTTAAGAAGGATTCGCCTTGTCACTGACGAACCAAACAGCCCACAAGATGAGAAAGTATGTGTAGGAAAAATGTTGTATTTCTCCATTAAAAGTATTTTTCTATGATGGAAATATAAGTAAGGAAGTTTAATTCACATAGTGGTTTACACTTAAATACTTAAATGCAGACATAAACTGAAAATAATCTTAAATTTGTTTATTTCATTTTGGAGCTTTGATCCTGAGAATCTCGTGTGTGTGTGTGTGTGTGTGTGTGTGTGTGTGTGTGTGTGTGTGTGTGTGTGTGTGTACACATACATACATATATATTTAATCCAACAGCACATTAACATATGAATCTGTTTGGGTAGATATGTTGAAACAAGTGACTGTAGATGTATCTGCATAAATACGAAAGTGTCATGGTGTAACAAGTCATAGCATTAAATTAATGTTAACAATTCATTGACTTTTTTGTAATTAGGCATAAGCATTATATGGCCACTTTTGAACTTACCACGCTGGTCTTGATGTTCCCCTAAATTACAACTAAATAGTTCACATACCTCCAGGATGAAATATAAAATCATCTGTTTGGTTTTCATTATCGCCTAGCCCCGTCCTACTTTTCCAGTTCTCTTATACTTTATTCCCTGCCGTGTATCATGGGATGCAGTGATAACTGGCTTCCTTGCTGCTGCTTGCATACTGCACTCCGTCTCCCGATGGGGAGCATTTTCACTGGCTATTCCCCATGCTTAGCACGCTCTCCTTCATCTTCCTCTCCTGCCTTTCCTGGTGGCCTCCCTGTTCTCCCTCAAGGCTTAGCTAAAGTCTTACTGTCCTCCTCAAACTGAGCTCCTTCCCTCTGGGACAGCTTTCTTGTGTATATATTTTTTGGTGCATAGTTGTTTGCATGTTGTTTCTGCCATTAGACCATGAGCTCCTCGAGAACAGGGACTGTTTTTATCTTTCTTTGTATCCGTGGTACTTTGTACAGTATTTGGAACATATTAGATGCTTACAAAATGGTTGCTCTTTTAAGGTGTTACTGAATCAACATCAAAAAGGCATTCCTTTTCACTTATTTTTCCAGTAGTGATTATGGGTTTGCAAATTTTCTGCCCGGAAATGCCGCACATTTTAAAAACAGCTGATAAGGTTGAGTGTGCAGTCTGTAGATATGAAATGGAGTTTTTTCCTATGCAAAGCAAACCAGTCTGTGTGAATATGAGCTAAAACTCATACACTAATTGTACGTTTATGTAGAAAAATTGCATAACTAACTTCAGCTTCATATGCTTTCAGTCAATAAAATATTGTCCTGTGTTTTTCTTTAAGCAGTTAAATGATTCTATAATTAACTTGAATAATGTTAATCTGAATGATTGAGGTAGCAGCACTTTCCATGGAAGGAAGGATGATTTTTTGCTTCAGGGCTTTTTTTTAGTACTAAAGCAGGAGTTACAAGGGTGGAGAGAGTAAGGAGAGAAAGTGGAAGGAATTTAGTTAGCTTTTTGTGTCTTTAAGGGTATTATGAAAGAGGGATGAAGAATGATTGATTTCCAACTCGTATTTGAAGATTTGCAGAGTTTAATATTCCTATGTGTTAAAAACATTCCATGACTATCTAACGAAAATCACCCACAATGTATTTCTTATTGCAGCCACGTTGCCAAAGAGTTCTTCTTTTAGTAGATCTGGTCCAGGTTCACAATTAAATACAAAACTACAGAAGGCACAATCATTTGATGTGGCTAGGTAAGTTTGTTTGCCTTTTGATTATAGTAATGAGTGGTCTAATCACATAATAAATTCATTAACTATTTAACACCTACATTTTAAAATGAGTTAACAGTCTTTATTATTTTCTTACCACATAATTTCTGTAACTAAGCAAAATATTATTGGTGTTCTATAAATGTTGACTCATGCTGAGAATTAATTGAGGAAAAATAGGTTTTATTATTTCTTGTGTGCTTTGATTACTAAATATATTTTTCCTAACAGCATAGTATTTCTTCATTCATTACGTGTATCACCTACAAAGATATTTCCATTAAAGAACAGTTTTGTATGCTGTCCATCTTCCAGCACAGACTTAATTATTTTTGTGTCATGGACTCACTTGGTAGTCCGGTGAAGCTTATGGACTACTAAGAATGTTTTTAAATGCATAAAATAAAATACACAGGATTACAAAGAAATACGATGAAAAAATCAATTTACCTACTTAGAGTTAGACATTTTAAAGTAGCAAATGAAATTTCCATATAAAGATGCTAGGCAAAGGTGTTTAATTGCTATTACAATAGAGGATTTGTTTTTTAAGCATTCAGAATTTTCTCATAGGTTTTTTTGTGTCTTTAGGTGGCAAAATCTCATTTCAATGGAAAACATTAAAAGGAATGTTTCCACTTCAGTTTTTGGTTGATTGTGAACCAGCAACTCTTTTTAAATTAAAAATCTTTATAAAATGATTTGTTTCATTTGCCTTCTGTTTGTCTACAGAAGAATCTGTTGAACATAATTTTAAAAGTATATTCTGAAGAGCTTTGCAGAAGTTGTGTAGTGCCATTGATTTATAGTGAGCCTGTTAAGTAATGATAATGAAAGCCACACAAGAAAATCTGTCTTCTTATTTCAAGTTTATATACTAGTAGATGTAAAAAGTTGGGCATAGTGTGTTCTGACCCCATGAACTAACTTGGCCGTTGTTTGTGGGTTTTTTTTTAACTGAATCTTTTATGTGAGTTTTTGTTTTCATTTGCTGCCTTTTCTTTCTCAATATTGAATATATTTCTAAATTTTCAGTAAATTCATGGTTCTTTGAGTTCTTTGAGTTCTTTGAGGCTTTACAAAATGTTTTCTGTCCCATGCATACATCTTCAAAACGTAGAGGGATTTTTGTTATGTAAATGATAGTACTAAATATTAGTGCAGTTAGAACTAGCCTCACCTTAACATGTCATCTTTTTGATATGAATAATTTAAATTCCTTGCAAATAATCATAATTTATGACTAGTTTAGAAAAGTTATGTCCTAGGAAGGCTACAGAACAGCACTTGACTTGGTAAGTATAATCTGGTGCCTTATTCATGTGTAATACTCCCTCTACTCTGTTAGTGAAACTTAAAGATAAATTGACTTCTAATAAGAAAGTAAGAGTATAAATTAGCGGAATATTAAGTTATTTAAAATGAGGGAATTATCACAGCAGAATTCACAGTTGGAGTCTTCCTTGTAAGTTTTTTTTCCCCATTTAAAGAATTTATTGTAAATTTTTGTCAACTTTCAGAAATAAATTATTTAATATGAATGAATATATGTTTGTGCCTTCTAGTAGCTATTATAAAGCACTTTATTGTTGTATTAGAAAAAATATCTATTACTTTGTAATTTGGAGAGTTGAATTTACAAAGACATTTTTCAGCTGCTAGGATATTCACTGTTATATACAAAAATCTAATATAGAGAACAGAAATTAAAATTGATAGGTTAAGCTTCTGGTTGTTTTAACTTTTGCCAAGTAACATGGAAATTAGCCATTAGCAATATAATGAAGAGAAACGTCTTGATGAAATAATAATTGTAACCCACATCTACAGTGATATGTCATCATTATTCTTAAATAAAAGGTTACTTCAGATTGATTTTCTTGATAGCCTATGTTCAGCTCCTAATTCGAAAGTATTTTGGCGTTCTATGGGTAGTATCATTTAAGCAACTAATCCCTAAATAGATCTAGATTCAAATTAAGTCCTGGAAAGGAATTTTCTTCAGGTGTGCATCAAGGCATGTTGGCAAAAGAATGCTCATCATTGGGTTGCCATCCATCTGTTTTTGTGCTATCGGTTTTGCTTGTGAGTATTAGGCCGTTTGGTTCCTCATCTGTAATGGTCTTCAGTGCTGCTTAGAGGCAGCCTTGAAGCCAGAGAATGCCCTGCCTCTGACGCATCCAGGGCAACTCAGTTAAGCTCTCAGTGCACTAGGCAGTTCTCTAAGACTCTTTAAGTTGTGGAGAAGGGGCTGATCTACCTTGGTAGAGGAATTTCCTTACCTGGAGTTCCTTATAGCAATGTCATCTGAGATACACTGTGTATCTCGTGGTTGGAATTTAAACCTCTCAGAATGACAACATCTTATCATTTCACTTTAATAATAAATACATTTTTATTTTTGGTATGTGAAAAATTAAGACTTAAATGCCTTCAGAGGTTGACACTCTTTACTTTAGCGTGACAGAAATGGTATAGGATTAACAACCATTATGTCATCACTTTTGCTTGCTAACAATTTTCTATCCTTTTTGACTAGCCTTCAGCATATAGTAAATAGAGTCCATAAGTTGGAATGGCCATTTGGACTGATTTTATGTCTGTGTTAAAAGGTGAATAGATAATCTTTTTGGTAAATATGCATATTGAAATAGAAAATTAATAGACATGAGAATAAATAAGAAATGAAAGCTACTGCTTTTTTTTAAGGCAGTTAATTTAAGCAAAGGGAAATCATAGACATAGACAAATTTTTTCTACTAATTTTTATCTTTTTAAATTCTTCTCTTAGTGCCTCTCCTGTGGCAGAATGGGCCGTTCCTCAGTCATCAAGACTGAAATATAGGCAACTGTTCAATAGCCACGACAAAACAATGAGTGGACATCTAACAGGTATTCAGATAGGTTAACATATGAAAAATAATTTTGAAAAATGTCATCTGTTTTTAAGTTTCATCCTTTGCTCTATCATGAAAACACTGAATTTTCTCTTTAAAAATCTTCAACAGAATTAAATAAAAACAAAACAACTTTACTAAAGCACTTTTCTTAATTTGCATATTCTTGAATAATACTTTCCTTCTCTGTCTACCTCATTTCTGTTTATCTACTGGGAATGCTCAGCTAATTTGCTTCTGTACCCCATAATAGGTTCTCCATGGGGAAAGCTCTATTGTTTGGGAGTAGAAGAAACTATTATAATAATAGCTTTAGTATATTTTCATTTTTAGGAAACTTTTTTTTAAGATTTCGAAACCTTTATTTAAGTTTTCCAAGTGCTTTACGTATGCTAGCTATCTCATTTTGATTACAGGAGGATTCCAGTACTACCTAGAAACCTTTTAAAGTATATTGTTAATGTATTTTTAAAGTAAATTTTTATCAGTTGTAGAAATGCTTAGAGAAAAAGAGAATTATCTAGTTATGATATTAAATATAAAGGAAATAGATTTTTTAAAATGGAAAAGCAGCATGATTCACTGAAAAAATTGTGGATATGGAATCAGAGGACTTAAGTTAAAATCTGAAATCTACCACTTAATACTTGGATGGCTTTAGACCAGTCATTTAATCCCCCAGAGCCTCAGTTTCCTTATTTATAAATTGAGGTATTTCTATTTGAATGAACTCTAAGGGACTTTACAGCTCTAAATCCAAAGTCTTGTGATCCAATAAAAGCACATTTAGTTATTTCTTAACTAGTATTAAATAATTTAACATGTTCTCAACAAGGGGAAAACATTTTTGTAAGAACTTTAGTCCTTAAGAGTCATTAATTTGATACTTTTGTTCGGTATTCCTTATGGGTTCCTTTTCCTAAAGCAAAATATATGTGAGTGTGGGTATCCTTCTGACTTTACAGTATGTCAGTGGCAATCCTATTCAATTAGTCTTAATATCAAACCCAATGGCCTTTTTTAGCCCTCATCCAGTTCAGCATGAGACTCTTGAATATCCCTTCCTTTTTGAGACCCTATCTTCTCCTTAGTTTCTTACCAGTTGCCTCATGGCTCCTTCTTGTTCTGCTTTGTTGTCTTCTCATCCTCTATCTGATCCTTTAAGGTTTTGTCCTTGATTCTCTTTTCTTTACCTTCTTTTCCCTTTGAAGTTTAAATCATTTCCAGAGCTTTGCCTGTCATTTCTAGGCAGATGACTCTCAAATCTAGATATCTAGCTCTGATCTTGTTTCTGAGAGTTATACCCGAATCACCAACTGCCTGTAGGCCACCTCTACATGGATATACCTCAATCTCAACATGTCTAAAATTAAGCTTATTAGCTTTCCCTTAAAGCATACTCTTAAACTTCATTATTTCTGTCAGTAGCATGAGTTCACCCTGTAGCCCATATTTGAAATATTTGTTTTTGACTTTTTTCCTTTGCCTTACCTTGTAGATCTCATAAGCCACCAAATCTTTTCATATCCTACCTCCACAATATTTTTCACCTCTGACCTCTTTGCTTTCTTTCTGGTGATACCACCCTTAGCATATTCACCCATTTTTACTACTGTAGTGGAGGTGGTGGAGTCCTTTTTTTTAAAAAAATTTTTTTTTAAATTCTGAATTCTGTCTCTCCCCCATTGAGAAGTCAAGAAATACAGTACCCGTTATACCTGTGAAGTTATGCAATATATATTTCCATATTGGTCATATTATGAAAGAAAGAAAAAAATCAAGGAAAACAAAAAAAATGAAAGGAAATATATTTCTATCTGCACTTAGAGTTAAGCAGTTCTTTCTCTGGAAGTGGATAGCATTTTTCATCATGAGTCCTTTGGAATTGTGGATTATTGTTATATTATTGTATTACTGTGTACAGTGTTCTGGTTTTGCTCACTTCACCTTGCGTCAGCTCATACAAGTCTTCCAAGGTTTTTCTGAAACTGTCTCTGTTTGTCATTTCTTACAGTACAATAATATTCCATCACAATCATATGCAATAACTTATTCAACCATTCCCCAGTTAATGGCCATCCCCTCAATTTCCAGTGCCTTGCCACCACAAAAAATGAAACAAAACAAAACTGCTACAAATATTTTGCACACATAGTACCATTGCCTTTTTATTTTGATCTCTTTGGGGTACAGACCTAGTAGTGGTATTGATGGGTCAAAGGATGTGCAAAGTTATATAGCCCTTTGGACACAGTTCCAACTTGTTCTCCAAAATCACTAGTCTCTGATAGACTCTTAAGAGGTCTTTTTACTTCTTTTCTTCCTCAAGTATACCTATACTAATCTACTTATGCATACAAACTTACATTTACTTTGCTTTAGGAAAAAAAGAGTCAACGCTGTAATTTTAGTGAATAGCTAAGAAGAGCCAGCAAATTAATAACTAATAAGGACTGAAGTTCTTAAAAACCATGTGCTATTTGAGAGCTGACTATTAAACATTTACAAGCACACTATAGGAAAGAAACCTTAATTTTGTAAATAAGGAATTTCTGAGTATCTAGATCAATTATCTGCCCCTTATCACTATAAATCATCAAATTTTGGCTAAATCAAGCATTTATTAAGTGTTTATTATATGACGTCTTCTGGGTATGCAAATACCAAGAATGAAACAATGCCTGCAGTCATTCTAATTAGAGAAACAATGTATATATGTCTGTGTGTATATGTATACACATACATAAATACACATGTATGTATATGTGTGTATAACAAACATATATAAATGTTGATGGAATAAATATGGAGAGAATATAGGGAAAGGCTTCATGTACAAGGTGGTATATATAAACAAAGGTTATATTTGGTCCCAGAGGCAGTAGGAAATCACTGTAGTTTATCAACTAGGGCAGTTATGTGTTCAGAGGTGTAATTAAGGAAAATCACTTTGGCAGCTGTATGGAGAATTGATTAGTGTGGATACAGACTTTAGGTAGGGGTATCAATAGGGAAACCATTGCAGTAGTCTTGGTGAGAGTGATCAGGCAAGATCTGAACTTAAGGAAAATTAGCTTCATAGCAATTTGTAAAGTGGATTGGAATGGGAAAGACTTGAAGCAGAGAGACCAGTTAGCAGGTGATTGCAGTTGTCCAGGAAAGAGGTGTTGCAGGCTTGAAATATTGTGGTGGCTCTTTGAAAGACAGTAATCAGATAGGGGAGATACTGTTGAGGTAGAAATGTTGAAATTTTGTTACTGCTTAGATATTTGGGATGAAGGAAAGTGAGGAAGGATGGTGGTGTCTTCAACAGAAATAAATTTGGAATAGGGGTTTTGATGCAAAGGTAGTGAGTTCTTTTTTTTTTTTTCCCACATAGTGCATTTGAGATATCTCTGGGAAATCCAATATGAAATATCCAAATGTTGATGTGGGACTGAAGTTCAGGGGAGAGATTGGAGCAGGATGCATGGACATCTCCATAGAGATGATAATTAAATGTTTGGTAGCTGATGAGGCCTCTGAGAGAGAGAGAAAAAAGGGCCCAGGAAAGAAATTTGGGCCCTGAGTGCTAATGACAATGAGGCAGCAAATGAGATTGGAGAAAGAATGGTCAAGACAAGTAGGATAACCAGGAGACAGTAGAATCATGAAAACTCAGAAAGGAAAAAGTATCCAGGAGGGTAGGATGGTCAGCTGTGTAAAATGAAGCAGATGGGTCAAGAAGAATGAGGACTGAGATGAGACTATTAGATTTAGTAGTTAAGAGATAATTGACAGTTTTGGAGAGAAAAGTTTGAGTTGGGTGATGAGGTTAAAGGCCAAAGTAGAAAAGATTAAATTAAAGGAGAAATGATAGAGACAAGGCAGGCATCTTTTTCTAGACATTTGTCTGAGAAGTAGAGGAGAGGGAGAGGATGATAGCTTGAGTAAGATCTAGGGAGGGTTTTTTAAAGATGTGAAGATGGCATATTTGAAGACAATGATGAAACAGGTAGGAAAGATCTGAGTGAAAGAGTGGATGCTGTGTTGGAAAAAATGAAAAGGAACAGCACCAGGAGCATGTACAGAGGGGTTGATCATGACAAGAAGAAGGGCCTCCTTGGCATAAGAGACTGGAGGGAAAGAAGGAGAGAGTAGAGAATGATATCAAGAAATTTTGAGATGAAGAGAAGGGGAAAAGAAGAATGGCCTCACTTTTCCCAGTAAAGTAAGAGGGAGGTGGTTACTTGAGAGGTCGTGGAGAGGCGGGAAGTGTGAGAACCTTAATGAAAGAAGAAAAGGACTGAAGTAGCTTCTATGGTCGTGAAGTAGGTAATCAGTTAGAAATATTAGGATTGTTTAGCTGTAGTGAGGGCCTAGTTGAAATGGGGTAACAAATTTATGGTGTTCCAGTCAGTATGGTTGTGTGATTTTGTCTCTATTTTTCATCAGTAGGAGTGGAGAAGACAGATGGTTGGTTATAATCCAGGGCTGGGGTTTGGCAAGGGGTGAGTATTAATTGAACAAGAGGCCAAAGAATTTGAGAAAGGAGTACAGTCTGGAGTTGAATTGGTTAACTGTAGGGTTGTGATTGGAAAGAGAGAAAAGTGAAATCAAAGCTGGAGGAATGGCCTGAGAAAGTACTGGGAAGTTGGGGTAAAGGAATTGGAAATTTTAATCAAGCTAAAGAGTAGGTTTAGAAGGAGTAAGGTATAGGAATAGATTGAGTAATAGGAGACTACATTTAGATAATTGTAATATCAGAGTTTTGATCAAGGAAGAGATGGATTAAAATTTTAAATTCTAAACTTTAAAACTAATATGTCCATTCTTTGGTAGTCACTTATTCCATTATACTGATATTTGATTTCTTTTCTGTTCTTTTTCTTCATATATATACTAAAATCATTATAATTGGTTCAAATACACAAGACTGAACAATATCAATATACAGAGCACTGATTTTTGCCTAAAGTGAATAACTACTGATTGATCCTGTTAACTTTTTCTTGCTATCTGTTAGGCCCCCAAGCAAGAACTATTCTTATGCAATCAAGTTTACCACAGACTCAGCTGGCTACAATATGGTAAGAAGTTAAAAGTGTTTTTATTATAGACATAGTTATTCTTGCAAATATTTTAGATTAACCTTTTGTTAGGTTTAGATAGAGACTGAGTGTGCTGAACTTCAAATATTGTGTTTGGTTTCTTATCATTATCTTGTTTTTCAAGTGGATGTTAACCAGTGAAAGATTTCAGTATTGGGGATGATTGAAATACGTGGTTCCTGTAATGACTTATGTGTGGAAATAGAATCTATCCTATGAGCTTATGTGCTGAATAGGTCATTTATATATATCATGTGTTTATTTCCTACAGTGGACATTAATTTGGTATGTTCTATTTTGTGTCAAACTCCTCTTGATGGTATGAATGGTAAAAAGTAAAGGCACCTGCTATTAATCGCATTATAGCCATTATATACCCAAGCCTCAGAAACCTGAGCTACTTATTTACATATATGGGGACTCTTAGCTTGTTGAGAGCAATTGTGGCCCAGGCTCCATCTAGGCTTTGTAGGGGCTTGCGTTTAGAATTATATTACAACATTCTTGCCTCTATCCCAAAGGGATATAAAAAATATTATGGGATCATTCTTCTACCAAATATAACTTTAAAATATATCATAGCAGTCATGCAGGGAGGGCTGTGTCTTTCTTGCCTACTTACCTGCCTTAGCTAAAGCAGTGCTGGTGTTAGAGCCAGAAGGCATTTGGGGAGAGAAGGCAAGGGCATACCTCTTCATAAGTGGTTCAGCCTCACTTTAAAATGGGTGCCTGGGGACAAATTAACTACAAAGTTTACGTGTAATAAAAGCCTAATATGCTTTTTAAATCAGTATGGGATTCCAGAAGCAAATGGAGAGTGAAGCAAAGTCATCTTGATTTATGGCATGGAGATAGTTCAGTGTCCCAGTGTAGCATTCTCCTTGTTTGAATTTAGTCATCCATTAACATAAACCTGGCATTTGCTGTGCATCGTTCTTCAGTTGTTTTGTCATTTAGACTCTTGGAACTGCAGTGGAAAGTTGCTTTACTATAATAATCAATCTGTTTGTAGTCATTGTGAAATTTTACTTCTAAAAATTAACAAATGGTGGTGACATTGTAGATATAATTTTAGGGCATTCGTGTGCTCCATTTTAGAGCATCATAGTGGATCAGCCTTCCAATGGCAGAAGGAGTCATCCAGCCTGTGTGAGTCTTGTTTCTGTCCTTCATACATAAATCCTCTATAGGGAGCCCACTTGCTGCATACCTTTCTCTAGGTCCCTTAACACTCCTGAGAAAGGATTTTGGTATAGTGAACAGTATGCTGGGCTGAGCAGCAGGAGAAGCTTGGAAGAACAAGTTATTCACCAATAGATAAATGCCAAAGAATAAGAACTAACAGTTCTCAAAAAAAGACTTGCAAACCATTAATAACTATATGAAAGAATGCTCTAGTCATCAATGATAAGAGATGAAAATCAACAATTCTGAGGTTTTACCTCACAGCCAGGAAACTGGCAACGATGACAAAAGACAGAAATAGCCTGTGTTGGAGGAGCTATAGGAAGACATGTACTCTTAACGCTATTGGTGGAAGTATGAATTGGAATAAGTGCTCTGTAAGGCAATTTGGAACTGTGCTTAAGAAAAAAAAGCAAATGAATTATCTATTTCCTTTGACTCAGAGATCCCGTTGCTTGGCATATACCTTAAAGATGTCCAAGGCAGAAAGGTCACATATACACCAAAATATTCATAGTTACAAAGACCTGGTAGCAAAAGTAGATGGCTGTCAATTAGGGAATGGCTAAACAAATTATAGAGCAGTAGTATAGTAGAATGATCTCAGTACCCTTCAATAAACAATGGTTTGGTTGAATTCAGAGAAACATTGTAAAAGTAATGTGAGTTGATTCAGAAGAAAACATACACGATGATTGCAGCAATATATGTGTAAAAAAAATGAAACCGAATGCTGTGTAATTATGATAACAAATGAGCTTGGACCAGGAAAAGCATTGAAAAAATGCACCAGCTTTACTTCATTATAGAAATGGGACTGTGGGTATAAGATATTTTGTGTATAGTCAGTGCAGTCAGACATAGCTGTTGCATTAGTTAGTTTTGTTGAACTGTGTTTTGGTTGTTGTTAAACGAACTCACTGGACTTGGGAGGAGATGCATTATTTTCAGAAATGAATAAGATTAAATGTTTTAAAAATGAAATGAGGGGGAATGAGACTATTTGACCTGAAATATCTTTCAGCTCTAAATTATCTAAATCTCTAATTTTACGATTGTATGACCCTTCTGTTTTTGGAGTAGCTGTGATGAAATAGCAGAAAAAGAGACTAACTATGCCCAGAATCATATAATTTTTAGGCTAGCTATAAACATTAACTGTTGATATTCTATATGTGACTCCTTGTTCATGAATCAGCAAGTTGATATGTTACTAGAAGACTTGAACCATGTCATTCATCCTTACTGAAACTAGAAGATATGAAAGTGTCATTAGTTGCCTTTGGACATTTCAAACTGAATATCCTGGAAATATTTTAAACTGAACGTATCTAAAATTGAACTCATGATATTTCTCCCCTCTCTCAGACTTCGCTATTTCTGTCAGAAGTATCGCCATCCTTCGAGTCTCTAAGGTTTCTAATCTTGGCATTATTCTAGGCTCCTCACCTCATATATCCAATTAGTTGCCAAGTTTTGATGTTTCTACCTTCACAACATCTCTCGAGTTCAACCTCTTCTCTCCATTCCTGTAGCTACCATCTTAGTTCAGACCCCCATGAGCTTTTGCCTTGGTTGTTGCAACAGCCTTTTACTTAGTCTCTGCATCTAAGCCCCTCACCACTACAGTCCATCCTACATGCTGCTGCCAAAGTTATTTTTCTGACCATCTGACTCTCCTTTACCTACTCCAGTGGATTTCTATTGCCTCTTCAACAAAATAGAAGCTCTTTTGTTTAGTTTTTAAAGCTCTGTGCAGTCTGGCTTCAAACTATCTTTCTAGCCTCCTTCCCTTCCAATACATTGTAGTCAAGTCAAATTGGATTTCAGTATGGTCCTCACACATAACATTCCATCTACCTTTGCTTTGGCTGTCCCCCATGCCTGTCATACACTTCCTTCTTACTTCCACCTCACAAAATCTCTCTACCTTTTTGATGCAGCTCAAGCACCATTTTATGCATGAAACCTTTCCTAATCTCCCCAACTGCTAGGGCCCTCCCTCCTAAACTACTTTGTATTTAACTACTTTATATATTATTGTATTTATTAACTTTATATTTATGCAATATATACTTTTAATGAACTTGTCCTATCTTATTATAATGTAAGCTCATTGTAAGAATGTTCTGTTCTTTGTACTTTTACCCATAGAAACACTGTGTATAGTAAGTACTTAATAAATACTTGTTGATTGATTAATAAAGAAGTTTCAGTTAAATATAAATTTTCATAAGGATTTTCTCACTTAGAAGATGATTTCCTTGTACACCCAAAGTTAGAAACATCATTTTATGGTACAGTTATTCATTCTACCTTACAGTATTTGTGATGAGCATAAATAAAAATGATCTCTATGAAGACAGGTATACCTTATAGGCCAATACCTATGGTATAGGATAAAGAGGTGGATTCTATTAAGAACTTCACCAGCTCCTCCCAGCCATGTCAGTATGGACCCTGGTCATTAGTGACTACAATGTGAATTCATTTCAGTTTTAGTAAGCCTGCTGTGTAAAGGCACTAGTGCCATAATGAACAATAGCCCTTGCCATTAAGGAACTTGCATTCTACTGGAGATGTACAATATTTGCACAAGTAAATGAAGAGAAAGATAATTTGATGAGCTAGAAAGCAGCAACATTGGGGGTAGTGGAGAAGTGAAAGACTTCCATAGGACATGGCACTTGAGTTGAACCTTGAAGGAAGCTAAGAATTTTGAGAGAGGGAAAGGGGGAGAGGGGTTATATTGGAATCAAGGGGGAGAGCCTTTGTGAAGCCATGGAGAGAGAAGATAGAGTGCTGAATTTAGGAAATAAGTTAGCCAGTTTGGCTGGGAGGTAAAATATTTTGAAGGGGAATAAAGTTAAAGAAATGGATGGCAAAAAAAAGTTAGAAAATTTGGGTCAGGATTTGACTTGCCAAAGGCTTGAATGCAATACTAGTAACAATAACAGTGTTAAGAACTGACTATTATTTAGTGCTTTAATGTTTATAAGGCACTTTATATACATGGATATATGAAAGAGATTTTATATATATATATATGTGTGTGTGTTTGTGTCTGTATCAGCTTCATCATGTGTGAAAAAGAGATAATAACAACTGCTTACCAGCCACAAGGAGCTAATTGTAAGGTGAAAAAGAGAGATACACATATGTGCATATATATAAAAAATATAATTATATATACATTATATATAATATACATTATATATACATTTTATATACACAGTTACATGATATACACAGAGGAGACTCATATATACATTATGTATTATATATGATATAAATATATTAGATGTAATTATATATAATAAAATATATACAATGTATAATATATAGCGATATATACATTCTGTATGTATATATCTATAAAACACTATACAGTGTATATGGTATATAATGTATATACACATAAACATTTCTTTTGTGTATACATACATACATACATACATACATACATACATACATATATATGCATGCCCATATAGACATTTCTAATATACGCAAACTTTTTTTGCCATATAATAACCCCATGAGGTTAGTAAGCAGCTGTTATTATCCCAGTTTTTAACATGATGAAGCTGAGACATAGGTTGTTTGACATGCCCATGGCCACCTGTCTGGTAAGTGTACATGGCAGAATTTGATACTAGATTGATCTGACTCCCAGTACAGACCTCTGGCCACTACACCATGTTGTCTCTCCATAGTCTGACTTTTTATCTTCAAGAAGAAAAACATAAAAATGAGTAGGAGAAAAGACATTTGAATCTTTAGGAGCTCCTTTGTTGGGGAATATGTTCAAATATTTGAGAATATGGTATGTGAGAATATTCAAAATGCAAGACCTAAATACATTGAGTTTTAATTTCACTTGTTGCCATTGAAGGCAAAAATAAAGGGGTTTTTTTTTTTGGTCATACTAATAAAGTCATTGAATTTTAACAGAAGATTCTAACGAGGACACTTCTGATATTTTATTCAACAGGAATCTTTCAGATATTGATCAAGATGGAAAACTAACAGCAGAAGAATTTATTCTGGCAATGCACTTAATTGACGTGGCTATGTCTGGCCAACCCCTACCACCAGTACTGCCTCCAGAATATATTCCTCCTTCATTTAGGTAAGAACAATATGACTCTCTTCCTGTGTTTCAAACTTTGCCACTTAAGAATATTTTTAATAATTACTACTTTCAGTGGTGTTTTCTCCGTTCTCATCCTCCTTGACCTTACTGAGACTTTCTGTACTGTCTGGAGTCAGCATGTAGTAGTAGTAGACAGGGTCCTGGACTGAAGTTAGTAAGCACTGAGTGCAAACCCTACTTCAGACACTTACTAGCTGTGTGACATCCATGTCTCACCCCTTTCAAGCTATTTTGGGTCTTCTTCTCTTGCTACATTCTCTTTCTTGGTGATCTCTTGAACTCCCATAGTTTCATCGCCATGCATATCTCTTTCAAATCTCTCTCTTTCTTTCTCTCTTAATCTATCTCAAGCCCTAATCTCTTTTGAGCCCCATCCTTCTCTCCATTCATACAATAGCCACCTTAGGTCAAATCTTCATCACCTCTCAGCTGTAATGGGTTCCTAACTGATTTACCAGCATTCAGCCTCTCCCTTCTGTAATCCAATTCCACAGAGCTGCCAAATTTGATATTCCTAAATCACAGTCCTAACCATATCCCTCCTATGTTCAAAGATCTCGGGTGGCTACCTATTGCTTCTTTTTTTTTTTTTTGGCTGGGCAATGAGGTTAAGTAACTTGCCCAGGTCACACAGCTAGTAAGTGTTATGTGTCTGAGGTCAGATTTGAACTCAGGTCCTCCTGAATCCAGGGCTGGTGCTCTATCCACTGTGCCACCTAGCTGCCCCTTTCTATTGCTTCTAAGATAGAATACAAACTTCCTTTAAAGCCCTTCACAATCTGGCTCCAACTTTTCTTTCCAGGCTGATTTGACATTTCCCCTTTACATTCTCTACAATCCTACCAAATTGAACTTCTTGCTGTTCCACATACATGACATCCTGTCTCCCATCTCTGTGGCTTTGCATAGGAATTTCACTGTAATGCACTTTCATTGTAATTGTTCCACTACTAATTTTGTCTAGAAGTACCTGAAATGCTTTCCCTTCTGTCTTTGTTTGGACTTAAGTGCCACTTGCATCCAGCTTATAGGGCCTTTTCTGCTTTCCATTGTTGTCAGGACTCTCTCCTTCTTGAAATGCTTTTCCGTTTGTATTATCTGTGCACATGTTGTTTCCGTCCAGTAGAATATAAGCTTCTTGATGGAAAGGACTATTTCATTTCTGTCTCTGTGTCCTCAGCATATTACAGGTGCTTAAAAATGTTTGCTGCATTGAACTGACCATGAGCAAATCACTTAACCTCTGTCAATCTCAGTTTCCTCATCTGTAAAGTGGGGACAATAAACAGTTCCTACCTCACTGGGTTCTTAAGAGGATCAAATGAGATGACATAGACAAAGTATTTTATAAACCTTAAAGCATTTAAGGTGGTGATAATTAGCATTTTTGTAATGCTTTAAGATTTGTAAAGCATTGTACATGTGATCTCATTTAATCCTCACCAGAACCTGGGAGGAATCCTTATTTTACAAATGAGGAAACTAAAGCTCAGAGAGGTAGAATGATTTACCCAGGGCAAATTAGGTTAAACAAACATCAACTGTATAAATGTGAGCTGTTACTATTATTTTCATCATCATTATATTTTGTTGTGGGAAGTGAATGCAAATTTATAATAAATCTAGTTGTAGGTCCTGCATTAATTCATAATCTTGTTCTACAAAATACCTTTGTTCTTTTACTATAATTTTTCTACTTTATTTCTTACCAAAAAATTTATGTGAAAATGAGTTAATGAGTTACAAGTAAGAAACTCTTTACTGTTATTTGCTGTCCTCCTCCAAAATGTAGGTTAATTCTTTTACTACATTCATTGCATAAATTAGTACAAAGGGTAGAGTAAAACACAGTGAGAATTAGAGTCTCTGAAAAATATCTGATTCTAATAATCCTTTGAGAGTTAACATTTTATTTTTTTAAAGTAACATTTCCAAATATACTAGAAGAAATCTTTTTTCCTATGATGTTTTTGGCCCTCTTCCTTATTAGTGCTACACTGATAATGTAGGAAATAGTAAGGCACATCAGTAGACTGATAAAGCACAGGTTCACTGTTTGTAGTTCCGTTTTCATTAAAATTCAAACTTTTTATGTAGGTTTAGAGCTGTGATTTGATAAATTTTGTGACTGTATAGTGTACATTTTTTTCCCCTCACTGATTGGGAAGTGAGTAGAGCAAACGTTACCAAAACTATGACTTTTCCTCAATTATACATGGAATTTGCTATATAATATGCATCATGCAGCTGATTAATGTGAATGTCTGTGGTCATGAGAATTAAGTTCTAGTATCTAAGGCAGATTTTGTCCTGATTCAGTTTGTATAAATAACCTTTTTACTCTATGCCACGATTTTCTGATATTTAAAATAGGACTGATATCTACCTCCTTCTCTACAACCATCATTGAAGAAAGAAAACAGTGGGAGATAATCTAGATTGAGAGTCATTTTTGTATTTTTCTTCATTTCATGGATTTGATGGCTAGAGAATTCATCACCTTAGCCTCTACATTGCATGGATGGCCCTAGGAAAGCAGACCCAGTTAATTATTGAGATTAAAGCCTTTCTACCATTATAGAGAAGATCACGTGAGCACAGAGCTAAATCTGGGAGGAACCTAAAAGAGTATAGTCCAGTGGTTCTTCCCCTGGGACCTAGGACCCTTATCGTGTTTTTCCTTTTTTCCCCTAACATTTTGATAACTGTATTTCAACATAATTGGCTTCCTTGGTGATCTTGTATATTTTACTGTTTCACACTTTAAAAAAAGATTAATTCTGAACAGTTAATCTTGGAAAGAAATAATGGCAAATGTCTTTTTGCTCTTGCAGAAGGGTTCGCTCTGGCAGTGGCATATCTGTCATAAGCTCTGTATCTGTAGACCAAAGGTTACCAGAGGAACCAGTGTTAGAAGAGGAACAGCAACAGCTGGAAAAGAAATTACCTGGTGAGTTGGTCTTTATATTTTAACTCTGTTACATTATCTTTAAAAGTATGTTTTTACATAGGGATGAAAACAATTTTTTTTAAAGTGAGGGTGGTCAAGAGGGAAACTTTGGAATATGAAGGAAAAAATGAGAGATGTAAACATTAGCCATTTTAGGGTGTTAATATACTAATCTCCTTTTACTTATAGTTTGACTATGTGTCTTAGGCTGAAAATAGGAAACATTCAAGGATAAAGAATTTGCAGTTCTTGTCATGAAGAAGCTTATAATAGAAATAGGGTTGGTAGAAATAGATTGGGCCGCTATGTGCATGTTGTCTACAGATTTGGAAATTAGGAAGATAAGCAACTTTTAGAGAGCAACCACCTTTCATTAATTCCCTGTTGCCTAAACAATGAAATACTTATCTTATCCAGGTATTCAAAGCCTTCCACATTCTGGCTCCAGCTTTCCAAGATGAAAAGATAACTAGTGGGGATGGACAGATCAAGTGAAGATTTTTTGAGGACTGGGGAGAAATGGGCATGTTTGTAGGCAGGAAGTAATGGGATCCCTGTTCAGGTAGAGGGGACTTTGAGGAGGGATGAAAAAGTTTAGAAAAAAAATCTGCCATGATGAGTGGGATAGTGAGTTGATTAGGGAGGTATAAAAGGATTGCCTTGTTTCAGTAAGGGCCCAATTGAGATTATGTAAAATAAATTTGTAGAGGACCCAGTCAGCACAACTTAGTGATCTTCTTCAGCTTTGTTGAGCAGCATGTGAATAAGAATGAAAGTGGTGGACTGTGTAAATAATCTAAAACTTGGGCTTGGCAGGGGTAGATGGGCAATAAGATAAGTGAGTACTCAAGGAAAGAAAACAGCAAGTGCTATAATGGGTTCACCGAGGAATCACTATGAGAAAGAGAGGAGTAAAAGAGTCACTGTGGTATGATGGCCAGGGAAAGAACTAAGGAATCAAATAATTAGACATCACTGTGAAGATTTGCAAATGACATAGTGAGATAAGGCTGAGGGAGGGGTGGAATGAAAACAGATTGTGATATGATATGGGAAGTTCTCAGTTCTCAAATATGGAAGTGGTTTCTTTGTGGGTAATGGCAAGATCATTCATATAACGATCTCTGTCTGTAGCTGAAATAAGTCATGGGAAATGAGTAAGTTGAGGAACTGGAAGATTAGGGTTTTTGAGTATCAGTATATATGTATGTATGTATGTTGAAGTCTCCTAGTATGAGGGCCAAAATTGATTGATTGCTACCCCTGCATTTCTTTTTCCTTCAGCTTGAAGTATAACAGATTTTACTAGCCTCTTTTTTGTTAAACTCTTTGAACCTTTATATTTTAATTGTGTTTTTTTGAGAACAACATATTGTTGGATTCTGCTTTCTAATAATTTCTGTTGTCTTACATTTTATGGATGAATTAATTTCATTAACATTCACAATTATGATAATTCTGTATTTCCATCCATTATATTCTATTACCTTTTCCTTCCCTTACTTTCCCTGGTCCCTCTTTATAAAGAAGGTACCAAGAGAGGTACTTAGCACCAAGCGGTTTAAGTTTGATAGTCTATCTACTTTTGTTTCCTTGACTTCATCTTGTGCCCAATAAAAAATTCTTAGCTTTTCCTTTTAAAATTCTCTTTGTGATCCATCTCCTATGGTTAGAATTTGTTTTGCTTACTATTAACCCTTCCTTTAATCATCCCTTTTTCTCTTTCCTTTTTCTTCCACCTCCTATTTCCCCTTTGAGGGAAAATGTATATCTTTACTCAGCTGTGTGAATGTATTTTCCTCTCCATTGACCAAGTCAGATGACAGTGAAATTAAAATGTCACCCATCCTCACCATTTCTTTTTCCTTATTTGTGGCGCCAATTATGTGAGTTTTCCCCAGCCTTCCTCTCCCTTTTCTCTCTCTAGTGTATTCCTTTTCCTGTCCTTTCTCTTTCTTCTTTTAAGATTATCAAAACAGAACAGAACTACCGCCCTTTCCTTATGTCCAATGATGATAATGGGTTTCAGGGGACACACATGTATTATCTCCTAAAATCAGGAGGCACATGGTGTATTCTCATTTAGTTCCTTATCATTACTCACTTATGTTTGCCCTTTTATGTTTCTCATGACTCCTTTATATTTCAAAGGTTCCATGTTCTATCAGCTCTGGTCTTTTCATCAGGAATGCTTGGAAGTTTTCTATTTCATTAACGGCCATTTTTTGCCCTGTAAGATTTTTTACATAGTTTTGCTGTGTTGTTATTCTTAGTTGTAAGCCTATATGTTTTTGCCTCCCTGTCACCATAATAGCTCATTATGGCATTTTTGTTTTGTTTTGTTTTGCCTATTCTTCATGCTTACTTCTTGACTTCAGACTTTATGTTAAGGCTTGGCTCTGTGCATTTGTAGAGAGAATGTTTCTGCTGAGCTTGTGTTCTCTTGAGTCATGTTGCTGCTGGTCCCTGGCAGCATTGTGTTATTCCAGGATCTCAGAGAATCTTAAATTGGGGCCTTCAAGCTCTCATTGCTCCAATAAAGTATCCAATCCAGGGTGAAGTCTGATCATTTGCCTTCTGGTCTTTGCTTTGCAAGTTCCTGACTTTTAGGTCTGAACAACCTGTGAGCTTTTTCCTGGTTGAAATTCCAGTACACTGTCACTGGATTCGGCAGCTGTTGGCTACCTGTAAATCTCTGCAGGTCCAGATACCTGCTTCTTAATCCTCACTAGTTTTCCCACACTGCTTTCCCCTGGTTCCCCTGTCTCACTGTTCCTTTTTAATCTCCATTGCTAGTGCTTGATCTGTGTCGTGACCACTGATCTTGGATGTCCCAGGAGGCTCTGTCCTGAGCTTTCTTCTCCTTTCTCCCTCATCTGTTTCCCTTGGTGATCTCATCAGCTCTCATGGATTTAACTACCTCTATGCAGATGACTCATAGATATAGATTTAGGCATAGCTACAGATTGATATTTATCTGTGTAAGTATCTTTTATACTGAACTCTCTTCCATGAACTCTGTGGTTCATCAGCACTGGCCTGGTTGCAGGTCTTCACATTACATGCCATTTCCTCTCTCTGTGCCTGTTCACTATCTGTCCCTTGTGCTTGGAATGCTTTGACGACCCCTGCCACCCAATCACTACCTCTTAGTTTTTCTAACTTCCTTCAAATCCTATCTTCTGCAAGAGGTCTTTCCCACCCCCACCCCCATCTGCTGATGCCATCCTGCTGAGTCACTGTCATCTACTCTATATATGTATCTTTTATATATCTAGTTATTTATATCTTGTCTCCTTTGTTAGAATGTAAGCTCCTTGAGGGCAAAGATTGTGATTTTTGCCTTTATATTCCCAGCGCTTGGCACATAGTAATAACTTTAATAAATATTTATTGACTTGATTTAGCTCTGGAATCAGAGGATCTGAGTGCAAATTTTGCCCCTGGTGCTTAATATCCAGGTGACCTTGAGAAGTCATTTAATTTCCTGAGCCTCCATTTTCTTGTCTGTAAAATGAGAGGGTTGGACTATATAGCCTTGAATGCCCCTTCTAGTTCTAGAGTAGCACAATAGATTGAGTGACAAAAAGAATGTCTCATTCAAAGTAGCTACAAAATGCATAAAATATATGGGAGTTAATTTACCAAAAATCACATATAAGTACAATTCAGGGCACGTAAATACAATTACATAACACTTTTAAAGGAAATAACATTGCTCATGGTTGGAGTATGTCAATATATTTAAAATAATGATACTACTTAAATTAACTTACAAATTTAGTGCTATGCTAATCAAGTTACCAATGGGATAATTCATAGAGCTAGATAAATTACTAACAATATTTACTAAGAGGAAACAAAAGTTCTAAGATTCTCAAAAGGAAAATTGGAAAAGAAGGTGAATAGTACTTCCAAACCTTATTATATTATAAGACAATAGTAATATCAAAACTATTTGACCTAAGTTAAAAGAGAAGAACACACTACAAGGAAGACTCAGACCCAGTCAAACTGAAGAACCTCTCAGTGCCAGATAAACTTGAAATTATATGTTATTTGTGGATGGACTCCCTATTTTGGTAAGAATTGCTTGGAAAAGTAGTTTGGCAAAAATTAATTTTAGACCAAAAACTAACACCATACATAAGAAGCTCAAAATGGATATGTGCCCTGAGTATAAACAGTCACACCATAAAAAATTGTGAAGGAAATAATAACAGGTACTTTTATAGTTATGATTAGGGGGAGAATTACTAACAAAACAAAGGACACAGTCCCTGTAAAAGATAAAATAGCCTATTTTGATTTCATGAAAGTGAAAAGTTTCTGTACAAGTATAAAATCAGCACAGCTAGCATAAGAATGAAAGCTGTTAAGTAAGAAAAAAATCTTTACATCAGATATTTCTGATAAGAGTCTGATATACAAGAAACATAGGGAACTAACACAAATATACTTTTCTGAAGTGTGTGCTTGACCATGTCACCTCCACACATCCAGTTAATGTTTGGTGTCTCCCTAGTACTTAGGATAAAATATAACTTCTGTTTAGTATTTAAAACTGTTCCTAAACTGAACATCTCTAGTCCTTTTACACATTTCTCTCTTTCACCTACTTTTTGTTCTAGCCAAACTGTCCTTTTTGCCACATGATATTCTGTCTCTTCTTTCCATGCATTGCACTGGCTATTCCCCATGTGTGGAATGCTCTATAAAATTCAGCTCAAATATCATCTTCTACAGTGAAGCCTTTCCTGTTTCCCCATTAGTATTCCCTTCTTAAAACTACCTACTGTTTTCTTTTTTGTATAATGTATATGTTTATGTTTCACTTTTGTCTTTGTATCCCCATCACTTAGCTCAATAAATGCTTGTGATTGATTTTGTTTCCTCTTGTGTTTGATTTTTTTTTTCTATTCTGCTCATTGTTTTTTTTAATTTTGCCTCAAGTACTCTGACCCTAAAATCATTCTAGTTTCTTATTTTATGAGTTTTAT